CGGCCCAGCACCGCCGTCAACGATACCCTCCACGATGCCCGCCATGCTCTCACATATCTCCAGGACGAAGTCGAGAAGACCAGCCGATACATGCCGATGTCGGTCGACAGACTCCTGCGCGATATCGGGGACCCGAATGGGACGCCGACGCGCTCGGCCCAGTCGCTGTACCCGCGGGAAACCTTGCAGGACATCCTACGTCGTGCAAATCTGCTGGAGAGATTCCTCATGGATTCATTTAATATCTTGGTCAGTTCGACGGGCGTCGTCGGGACGGAATTGAGCATCGCGCATGGCATTCGGGGGCAGAGATTGTCGACCCTTGCGTTCGTGTATGTCCCGTTGGCGTTCGTCACGGGCATTTTCGGGATGAATGTTGCGGAGATTAATGGGTCGCTTTTGTCGGTGTGGGTGCCCGTTGTGGTTACGCTGGTTATCATCGTGTTGACGGCGGCGGTCTTTGTCATGTACTCGAAGTGGACGGAGTCGAGGTGGAGATCTCGGTGGGGTGGGAAAACTCCCGAGCGTTTGTCTGGCGGTCGTCTTTGATACCGACGAGGTGGTGTTTGGCGGCCTTTTCCAGAAGACACGGTTTCGGAGCAGGGACATTCGACGTGCATCTGCGCCGCAATGACATACAACACGATGTATCAATTTCCAGTGGACAATATCAGATCTAGACTGGCTCTAGGAAGAAGCTGCTTCCACAGGTCCCAACTCGTGACGGAAATAATAATAAAAAGGACACTCTAAATCTTATGGCCCGTCTTCTTCACCGCCTCCTTATACGACTCCGTCGCCTCACAATCCTGGATCCACCTCCTCACCCCCGGCCAATCGCCCTCCCTGCCCTTCGGCACAAGCTGTCTCTGAAGGATAAACACCGCCGAGAAATGCATCATGACATCCGCCGCAGTAACCTCATCGCCAAAGATGAATTTCCCGGAACTCTTTGCCAACACGTCCTCGAGATAATCGAGATCTTTCCCGATGTTCACGCTCGCGCCCTTTTCCGTGGCCTCGACGTCGCCGGTCTTCTGGTGCAATCGGATGTACAGCACCGAGATGCCGTGGAGGGCGAAGGTCGCTTCGGAGGCGTGGACCCATTGGAGGACTTTGTAGCGGTGTGGGTCGCCGGGTGCCGGGAGGAGACGATGGGCGGTATCGTATTTGTCGCAGAGATATCTGATTTTCGGGAGAAGGAGAAGCAAGAAATTGGTTAGTCTGGGGAGGAGAACGATTGGGTTCTTCGAGATATGTCAGGCATACTCGCAGATGTTGCCGCTCTCGTAGAAGACCTCGCCGTTGTCTTCTAATGTCGGGAATTTCCCAAGGGCGCCGGCGGCCTGCTTGAAGGCGGCGGGTGCCAGACCGTTCTCGCGGTCGGATAATTTCAGGTTGTAGTCGAGACCGAGGAGATGGAGCTGCCAGGCGGTGCGGATGCAGCGCGAGGCTTGGAGGAAGTGGAGAGTGATGCCGGATGCCATTTTTGAGAGTGATTGTGTTTCTTGTAGGGTGTTGATGAAGTGGTCGAGGGAAAAGATTCAAAGTGGATCAGCCTGGAGGAGGTCAAGCATTATTACTTATTGAAGGCTTAGTCAATGCTTATTTCGAAGCTTCGAATAGTCTGGCGGAGATATATTTGATATTTGGAATCAATGTTGCGAGACAATGTGCATTGCTTTGTTGCGATGATCGAGTGACGTAAGACGTGGGGCTGGAAGCTGTCAGATGCCCTCTCCATTGATCCGATCGAGACCAGAGAGACAATGGCTGAAAGCACAACAGCGAATGCATTGGTGATGATTGGCGACTGCAATCAATACTTCACTGCTTGGGACATAATATTGGGACAACTTCAGTCCATGTTCATAATAATTTCGGCCAAATTTCCGTCGAACTAGCTAGAAGGAATTTTGTGTAGCCATCATGAGTTGAATTTAGGCGTCATACAACTTCTTCTTCTTCCTGGCCTTTTCCCGATCTGAAGCACCTTTAATGTAACGAGATAGATCGAAGACTATAACAAGAGAACAAAGTTAGCTGACAGCGAATTTGAAAGCCTCCGTCGCACTGAGGTATCCGATGCCCTGGAGCTGCATTCGACTCTTACCTGGAAGTTGGAATGGGAAATCCAATGATGCCATCATAATGGAGAGGAACAGGTACCACCCGAGGATACATGTCACAAATGAACATGCGCCGGATGTATAGATCAGTCTGTTCCCCAATACAGCATTCCCAACCGGATCCTCGGATAGTTTCCAGAACGCGGCGGCCAAGGTCCAAAATGAGGGAATCAGGGTGAGGAAGATGAGGAAGAAGATCAGGTTCGTGCGTAGGGCGAGGATCATGTACATGGTACACAGGAGGCCCATGAAGACTTGGAAGAAAGCTGTAGTCCGCTCGTCAGTCCAAACTGACTCTCTTTCGTCCCCGGGGTATCTTTCAATCGACAGGTCTGGTGTTCTCGGACTTACCGAAACTGGACTGAAACCCTGCATCTTGTAGACCTGCTAGATCGCCAGTCGTTGAGCCGACGTACGCGCCATATGCATTGAACCCCGGAACGAGTGTTGCGCCGTATGAGAGCCAAAAGGCACCGAACGAGCCAAATACCACCATTGGGAATGTGTTGCCTAGGATGAACTTTTGATTACCGTCAGTATCGGATCAAAAATTTCTCGGTCATCTATGAGGCTTCATCAATAATTTCATACCTCGCCGATAGATCCGAGAATCATGAGTAGACCGCCGAAGAAGAAGAAGGACCCCGTCGATGCCGCGCCGTTACCACCTGATCCTCGCCATCCCATCAGATCGCAAGACAAGGGCGTCAACGCAATCAAGAAACCGCCGATGGCACTATAATTTGGATTCCTCAGCATTAGCCCACACGCGGGAATATTCAATCATTTTCGCAAATGCTTACAGCGGAGTCGGATTCGCGAATGTCCCTCGCAAGTCACCAGAGACTCGATTTTGCGGTGAGAGATAGATCTTTTCGAAAAGTTCTGGTGAGATCGACAAGGCACCCGAGGTGTGAATTTTTCTCAAGGCATTTTCGCGATCTTCGGAGTCGTCAAGATCGTAGCCTGGGCAGTCCATTATTAGTGGTATGTGATACGCGGGAAGGTCGCAGAGAGATCAATACCATAGTCTCTCTCACGAGGAATATCATTGGAGTGTGGCGGTTCCAGGTCTTCGTTCACCCGTGCGGTTCTGCTTGTCATTTTGTGTTTATGGTCGGGTTGTTGTTTTTCGAAAACGGATAGATCTGTGAATTGCGCAACTGTCCCACCAAATAGGCGCAGAAAGTGCGAACCGTCGACGGTTGGGGATATAATATAAGCTGGCCAACGGCTTGGGCTGGGACGACTGTATTCGGACAAACGGGTCCGATGTACAATTTCAAGACTCTCTCTGCCGCAGGCAACGGGCGTCTTTCGGACTATACGCCTGGTGGGTATGTAGATCGGCTAAAATTGAAGGCAGAGAATCGAATGTGGAGGATAGCTTGCAATATAGCGAAGAGCCACTACGCCGCAAGGATGGCGATATTCGGTTGACAGCATCTTCGATGGAAGCTCCCCTAGCATACTGGACCCCATCACATGCGTAAAAGCGTGCCGTGCGCTGCTGGTCGCGCCGCATGGATGCATTGACTGCGCACCACCAACAAACCAATCGTTGAAGGGATGCATGGTTTGTTGGAGAAAGGATGGGTGACCGGCCCAATGGCAAGGAAAAGACGCCACCCTTCAACGAGTAAGGGCAGGGCTCCGGGACTCCGGCGCGGTATGCAGTGATGGATGTGGCGTGGAGTTTATTACAGTGACAATGATGACGAGTAAGCGAACGGGCTTAGGATAAGCTTCATGTAGGCAGACAATTCGTCTTGTCCAGCTACGCATGTGTCCAGTAGTGTCCATACATGGCCAAAATTGGGTAAAAGGGACTCGGAGTGAGTGGTAAAGGATCCTGGGAGTGGCGCTCAGCCCGCTCGGTTGTCGCAGGTCCCGCTGCGCCGCGGCCGATTTCTTATTATTATTGTTATTACAACAGTGCTCGGGCTGGGTCTATCTCCAGGATTCACCTGCGTTTAAGGGCACCTGTGCGTCATCAGCGGGAAGACATTGAGCAAGTCTTGCATATCAGAGCACCTATGCATCTCAATTTTGTGGAATTCACAGGCGGTCCAGCTCATAAGGTTGAACAGATATGGGAACTATCACAGTATTCGTGTTCGGTCCCCTTATTAGTTGGTTGTTATTCTTACCAGCAGATAGACCACTGCACTGTGCACACCACCCACCTGTGGGTGCTTGACGTGCGATTCTGAACACAAAGCACAAACCCAAAGGAGATTGTGAGACATCTCAATACAGTTCAGTGCATGCACGATGATGAAATTCATGCCCACCCGCCGCAGTGTCAATATGCGCATCATGTATGGATTCGGCAAGTCTTTGGAGCAGCTTTGGTATGTAGCCGTCATCATTGAGTATCATACTGGTGACAAATGTTCCCGGAACGATACTTGTTACAGTACTCAAAGTACTACACCTGGGCAGGATGAAGTGTGGTGGACATTCATAAATGGTGGCGGACGAGCATATCCCAACTTACCCAGGCACCTAGGTAGTAGGTAAGTAAGAGGTAGAGGGACGTCTTTGTATTAGCTTGGGCGGGAACCAACCAAAAATGTTGACGAAGGAACCTTGGAAAGCTGGGGTAGTGACCTTTCCCAGCCCGCGCCGCTGGTGGAGAATTAGTGCTGGGGTAGCTCCCTCGGATTCATCGGACCGTGGGACTCGTCACGAAGCAATGAAGAGGAGTCGGCCGTATGTCCGGCCGCATGCCTAATGATCGATTATTTTTGAGCTGTGATAAGCATGAGCATCACATAGATCACGCCCACACGAATGCGATGACGAACCCTGGTGACACTTGTCGAGCGCTTGGTCAAAATGTAACTTGTATCAAACGCGTTCATCTTACAAAGTGATTGCGCCGTGGTAGCTACGTACGGTACAAGTTCTTTCCCATCGAGGAAAGTGGTGCGGAGGCGGAAAATTCCTCGTCATCCGAAATAACGATGTATTATTATTCTGCGCAATGCGACCGGCTCTTTCAGCCTTGTGAGACTCTGCACATGTCACCTTTTCCATTTTGCATTTGGAATCATTGACTCGCGGATCCCGGGTTTCGGCTGGATGGTAATGCAATGATACTCCTGATGACCCGAGTCATCTTCATGAAACGAAATACAACTCCGAGCGGAAGTATTGGAATCCGCCGAAGCAGATCCGGATTGTTCGAAACATGTCATTTCCTGGAACCGACGCCGCTGCCGCCACCCAGATCCAGCGCGTTGGGATCGCGATGAACCTGTTGGAATCGAGATGTCTGGGCATCAAAGACGCCGCTAGAGCATACGGCTGGCTCGCGGAATCGGTATGTAAGATTGTGGTTCCGTGCGATGAACTTTCATTCAGCGGTCGTACTGTACTCTCGCTACCGAAGAGAACAAAATGTACAATTGGCAATACAGAAACCCCCGACAACGTCAAGCCCTATTAATGGCTGTGTCATGCTCTCTTGATGCATTCGGGCTTGACAACTATCAAGTGAGCTGCGCGATCAAGTTGGCCTGCTTCGTCTTGACCGTGTGGGTGATGGTGTCGAAATTGAGCTCCCGCATCACATTGCCCACGGTTTCCGTCTCCATCTCGAATTGATCCAACGCCGACTGGAGCGTACCATCCACCAACTGAATACTGCGATACTTCGTTGGCGCGTACACCGCAGTCAATATATCATGTACGTGAGCATCGGTCTTGGCCAAAGATCGGATAACGGTGTCGGCAATGGTCTCTTCGACATTTCCGCTCAGTAATGCGAGCTTCTCTCGGCGTTCGTCCAATGTTGGAGCCAAGACCTCGGACACGGTCGTAGCGCTGGTCACATCCATCACTCGGACGTCAAGCTGACGGAGAAGCTGAAAGGTCGGATCTTGGCTTTCCGAAAGGTTGGCCTGCACCAAACGCAATGGCTTGAGCCCTCTAGCCATAGCCTTGTCCGGGCCGCCAGCTCCTTCCGTATCCCGTCGTGCACTCTTTGTAATCTCGCGTAGTGCATCAGTAATGGTCTGCAAAGCGGCACTGTGACCTTGAACCTGCTGCACATGTTCGTCCAGAATCTCAAGTCGTGCGGCCAGATACTGTAAGGTCATGACGGTGTATTCACCCCATTGAGCCTTTTGATTTTGATTCTCTGTATGAGCTGCGAACATGCTTTGCCTAAGCGGTTTGCGATAATGGTTGTCGATTGCGATGGTGACAAGGCCTTCGATTTCGCCTCCAAGCTCGTCGAGCTCAGCCTGAAGTGTTTCTCTTTGTCTACTCTGTTGCTCAGAAAGAGAACCTTCCATTGATCCGTTTCCCAGTCCTGAGTGCTTTGCGATGGTGTTTTTATACGCCGCATCCAGGCGGGCATGGATCTCTCTCACAGTAAACGAGGCCAAAGTAGAGCACAAATTTTCTACTTCTTCTGCAGCATCGTCTGGCTCTACAGATGTCGATAGTCGCGGGACGAGCTTCTGTAAACCACCAAGCAATCGGTCGTCTTTCTCAAGGATTCGTTCCACATGTGATGAAGCTCTACCGCTAGCCGTCTCTACTTGCTTTGTTACCGATTGCAGCTTGCTACTCAATGCCTGTGACAGCTCATCTGCTTCGAGACTGGCCTGCGCTTGATCTCTAGTAAATTTCTTCTGTTGCAGAGTTCGAACACTTTCATCTGGCTCCGGCGAAGCGGTTTGTTTGTCCGTGCTTAATTGTTTTAGAAATGATTTTTGTGTTTCTAGAGCACGGCATTGCTTCTCGATCGCAGCGGTGCTGGCTTCAAGTGAGCTCAAGGCCGCTTCAATCTCGAGATCCGACGGTGCTCGGCACTTGGATGTCGATGTGAGTGTATCGACGTTGTGGTTTTCCGCGCTACGAATATTGTCAGTGAGCAAAATCAATGACCTATACCACGTTGATCTTACTATTGCAATTCATCCTTGGTCAAAAGTGTCTCTGGCGTGAGGTATTCATTTACCCACGCGGTCAAAGACTCTTTGGTTTCTGGGCGCTCGAATGCCCAAGCCACGTCGTCTCGACCAAGCGCAATGTCCCTCTCCTCTAGGATGCTCAGAATATTTGACAATAGCGATGACATTTTGATCGATCTTCACTCAGTCGCGTTATATGAAGTAGCTGGGGAGAGTACAGACCGCTGAACGTGAGCCCACAGATATGGTCGTCGTGGTGCAGATGTCTCGTGCATTCAATTATTTATTATTATTTGTTAAGGGGTCCACGGGTCCTGTTGTTACAGGATGCCCAGGTGGATTTCACGATCTATCCTACATCGGGACTTGCCTCTGCCGGGGTGGGCCGAACCGTCGGATAAGAGCTCGAGCTCGCCAACAATGCGTCACTAAAATACGGCAATATTGGATCTTTCATCTTTCAGATTACCTCCGCTTGACAAAATACATACTGTGACCATGGCAAACGTCGGGATCCGCACAACTTCGCTGCTACGCTCAAGCGTCATCAATCGAACAATCCTTCCTTCGAGGAGCTTAGCGACACAATCAAATGGTGCTGCCCCGAGCTCTCCTCCGCGGAGAGCAGTCACTGTTGTGAACGATACTGGTCAAATTCCCTGGACGAATCTCTCCACCGGCGAGAAGCTGGCTCGCACAACTCAGCAAACTTTCAACATCGGTATCGTCTTGGTCGGTCTTGCTTTGACAGGTGGTGTCGCAACAGTTCTCTGGTTGGAAGTGTTCTCATCGGACAGCAAAACGGCTTATTTCAACAGAGCAGCGGATCGTGTCCGTGCAGACCCAGCATGTCGCGAGCTTCTCGCTGGCGAAGGAATTCACAGTAATAGAGAGATAGAGGCATACGGCCAACCCAGCTGGAGCCGATGGGCGCGCAATCGGAAGATTGCAAGCAGGATCGAAACGGATCGTGCAGGCTTGGAGCATCTCCATATGCATTTCTTCGTGGAGGGCCCAGCCGCAAAAGGTACGGTCGTTCTCCACATGACGAGGCGTCCAGGAGAACAGTTCGAGTATCGCCTTCTGGCACTTGACGTCCCTGGTCACAAAAGGCATTACCTGGAGAATGCGGACGGCATCTTTGGGCAAAGAAAACAAGGCAAGATGTTTGGTGTGAGGTGGAATTGAATTGAATCTATTGAAAGGCCGTACAAGCAGCAGACCCACAGCAGCGTACCTTACTGCTACATCACATTGGAGGCAACTTCCCGGCGAATGGCCTCCTCGACCACGCTACCGCAAAGCTTTGCATGCGGATTGGTATGCACTGCGAGAGCTTTCGCTACCTCATTGCCATACGTTCCTCCAAGAAAGAAGGCTTTTGATGACTCTTCCTCAAACCGAGATTGTGTCCAATCTTCAAACCCAGCACCAACGACAACGCTTTCCGTCGTACTCAAATCTCTTGATGCAGCATAAAGCAAAGCTCCTAGCTGGGTATATGATTGCGCAAGAAGCCGTCCTTGTTTTGGCGATACTGGATCTTGTGGCCGAGGAGTTGATGCTAATCTCAGCGCCGTTCTGAGATCAGTCACAGCTTCTGAGCCCATTTTGGCGCGCTCTCTGTCGATGCTCGCCTGATCTTGACAGATGGTGTTGTGATCACCGTACCGCCATCTTCGGAGCTGCGCGCGATCGTTCCACGCCGGTGCGTACGTTGGGTGGCTCATGATCAAATCATCCAGAATCTGAATCGCGGTTGCGAACGTCTCGTGCTTCGAAGAGTTTCCTAACTTGTCACTTTTCTCGAATTGCTCGATGAGATAGATCGCTTCTCGCTCGCGTCGCGCTATGTTCTGCAACACTTCGTGATCCTGAATTTGGTTGTGTTCGGGCAAGCTTGGATCAACAAAGACTTTTGTGCCTGCTGGAATGCCTTCTGGCTCGAAGACACAGGCAAGGACCCGCGCATCAGTCTCAGACAAGTGAGTCATCTTCACCTTGCGATGTGAGAAGAAAAATCAAGACGCGCCGAGGAAGGTTGGGTTCGGTGATCTGACGTTCTCTTGGGAGTTTCAGCTGCCGTTGTCTTTTGTTCCTGCCAAAAGTATGCCGCTTGCCATTTCGGCCGACATATGAGCTGTGCTTAAACAGCATGATCCAGGCGACACGAGCATATTATGCCGCCACGACATGGCTCTGGCACGGCGGAAGAGCACTCTGACATCTTAATTGATACCTAAGCTCCAGGGTTTGTGCCTGCGCTTCTGCAAGGTTAATCCGGGGGCTTCGTTATTGATAAGTCATATCGCGGCTTCCACTCTAGCACATATTAACCCGCTCGGGCCATCTTCTTTTCCTGCGCTTACAGTATGCCGCTCGCTTACTTCCGGAACATTGTACCACAAGCCGAGAACAAGCGAATTTCAACTTCGGCTTAACTTCACTGGACATCACCTGTACAACAGCACCCAATGGCATTCCCCATTACCGCTAAAGCGATTGAGCAACCCGTAGAAACGTATGCGTCGTTGCAACATCGTCATGCCCTACGAGATTTCCATCTCGGCATATCGCGTAAGAGCATATCTCCAACAGCGGTCAGCTGCCATGACAGTTACCGATCTTGCATTTGCCGATATTTATGGTGTTAGTGGTCAGCCGAAGAGGTCGCAGTCGCTCGATGAGTGTTCTTGGTCTTTTTGCATTATCAGACCTGTGGCTTGAGCATCACATAGCTTGCCTCTCTCATGTATATATACATGGGCTATCTTCGCGTATGCCTCTCTTTGTAGATTCGATTGTATATTTGAACATCATCTCGCGAGATGGCGCCTGCTCTACTTCTGCCCAATGAGAATGGGCGATCGAGTCCAACATATTCCTCCGATGGTGGCTTCTCTTCACTGCATACGTCTGAGCCCACAGCCCAATATCGGGGGTACGACCACGTCACCTGGTGGGTAGGCAATGCCAAGCAAGTCGCTGCATACTACATCACTCGCATGGGCTTCCAACTCGTTGCTCACAAGGGTTTGGAGACTGGCTCTCGCTACATCGCCAGCCATGTAGTGGAGAACGATGGCGTCCGATTCGTTTTCACATCACCAATCCGCTCGTCGAGTCGCAACTGCTTACATGAAGTACCCGAGAAGGAGCAGAGGCTTCTCAATGAGATACACGATCATCTCGACCAACATGGTGATGGAGTCAAGGACGTTGCTTTTGAAGTCGACGATGCCGAAGCCATCTACGAGTCGGCCATTCGTCGAGGAGCCATAGGAGTTCGTGCTCCCGTGCGCGAATCATGTCCCGAGGATGGTGAAGTCATCACCGCATGCATCAAGACTTATGGTGACACCACTCACACTTTCGTACAAAGAACAACATACACTGGAGCATTCCTACCGGGCTACCGGACTCCTCAACGTAAAGGGGAAATACAGAAGGTGGACCCAATCAATCTCCTCTTGCCGCCTGTGCAGCTCTCCGCGATCGATCATTGTGTTGGTAATCAAGATTGGGACCAACTAGAAGCGACATGCGCCTATTACGAGCAATGTCTCGGCTTCACTCGCTTCTGGAGCGTCGATGACAAAGATATCTGCACCGACTTTTCTGCTCTAAAGTCCGTCGTGATGAGCTCCACCGACGGGAATCGCGTCGTCAAGATGCCCATCAACGAACCCGCCCTCGGCAAACGCAAAAGCCAGATCGAAGAATTCGTCGACTACTACAACGGGCCCGGCGTGCAACACATTGCGCTACGGACGGACGATATCCTCGCAGCGGTGACGGCACTGCGCGCCCGTGGTGTCGACTTTATCAACGTTCCAGACACGTATTACATCGCCCTGCGCCAACGTCTCAAAGATGCCGGCATGCATCTGGAAGAGTCCCTGGAGACGATCCAGCGTCTGAACATCCTTGTCGACTTTGACGCGGGCGGATATCTGCTGCAATTATTCACCAGACCGTTGATGGACCGGCCGACTGTCTTCTTAGAGATCATTCAAAGAAATAATTTCGAAGGATTTGGAGCGGGCAATTTCAAGAGTCTGTTTGAGGCGATCGAGCGAGAGCAGGAGATGCGCGGGAACTTATGAGTCACCCCAATCACCTGCGGTAAAGTGAACAAGTTCACCGATGATTCAATCTCTGATCAGAACGACGTTGTCTAATCTCCATTGTCATACCATGCAATTACTGCGATATCACGGTCAGAAAAGACCACAATGGAGTTCACATATCTAATCTGTAGCACAGACAGTCTCTTCTATTGAATGAAAAGAATACCAACGCCGGCAACACATATATTTCACTCTCCCAATCCATGTAATCTCTCGAGTTTTATCTCATTCGTTTCGGTGTTCCGGATATCGTGGACTTCCCGCGGCCTGTTTTGTCAGTTCACGGCGTGTGCCATCTGCAGACAGACAGAAACAATCATCATGTACATATACATATACATCTATACATACAAATACAACCACTGTGTCGTACCTACAGCATCGCGAAGCTTCTCATTATTTCACATGTCTCGTATAGAGAAACCTACCACGTCTTCATTGCGACGATCACGTCCGCCCTCTCGTCCTCCTCGTCGTGCGCCTCGGCGTGACGATCTCCTCTTCACTGGCCGCTTCATCCTCACCATCATCGTCGCGATCGTCATCGTCCTTCGCAATCACCGCTTGTTCATCGTGATCGTCAGAGTCTTCATCGGATGGGTCCTCGAATTTTGCACTCCGGCTTCGTGGGCCACTGCCGCCGAAGTATGCACTTTTCAGCGGAGTCGCTTTGGCGGGGGATTTCGCCTTCGTGGTAGGCTTAGCACGTGGAATTGGTTTTTTCTTGATAGAAGATTTGGGCACGGGTTTCTTGGTCTTGGATGTAGATAGCGGAGGCGATTCGATGTCGGATTGATCGGCTTCTGTTACGAGGGAGGCTGATGGTCCGGGTGCGTGCATCGCTTGTAGTGACATTGGCGCGGATCGCTGGGCGGGCAATGCGTGGGTTTTCAGCGATGAACCATTGGCGGATTTGTGCTCTGCTTCGTTATGGGATGAGCTTTCATCGAGGAGGAATCCGCCGCCGCCGCTAAAGTCTTCTCCTGGGACTGGCGATGCATTGTTTTCTTCGTTTTCGTCTGGCAGAAAGCCTCCACCTGTATTACCATCATCATCGTCGAGATGAAGCTCGGCTTTAACTTCGTCTCCTCTTGAACTTTGATGATCTTGCCGTCGTTGGGGTACTTCTTCTTCGTCATGTCCGGGCTGGAAGAAACCGCCTGCCATGTCATCTTCGTTGACGCCCTCTTGATCTTCATCAGTACCATCACCAGTCAAATCGACAACAGCTCCGGAACGGCCTTCTCTTCTCGCTTTCTCAACGAAAGGATTCCTCTCTTCACTAATTCCGCCCGACACATCATACTCCGCTTTCATCCGTTCAAGGATCCTCAGCCCAACGACCATCTTCCTCCAGTTACCTAAGGCCACAGCAGTCCTCTTCCCATCTTCCCTCGCTTTAAGAACCTCCTGTTCTTCTCGCCACCTCTGTCGGACAACTTTCTCATCCTTGAGACCAATGACCACGCCATGGATGACGGGAACGGCTCTCTGTTTGCCAAACTCAAACCCAACACATGCTTCCGCAAATTCCACGCCGAGCTTCTTACAAACGCCCTTGACACCTTTCAGAGGCAAGTGCACTGCACCTCTGGGGACCATGCTCGGAACGTATACGTCCATATTACCAAATGCGTTCTTGGGAATATGTCCATCTGGACCTATCGGTGGCGGGATGATCCACTCGGTCTGCTCGCGTGAGTAGAGCCCTTGCAGAGGTTTGGTGCCTGTCTCGCGTAAAGCATCCTCGAGCTCCCGTTTGCGCTGCAACGTTACCGCGCGGATCGGCACGGACTTGAGCGGTTGTTCGCCTGTGCGAATGGCGCGGCCTTCTTTGTGCCAAGATTCGGTGGTTTTGCAAGCAACGACGTCAGCACGGCGGTAGACTTGGAATGTCTCTGGCTCGGAGGTTGCACCTTTCTTGGCAGGTGGCGTGAAAGTCTTGACAGGCGTGGCATCGGGTAGAAGTGCTTCTTCACGACGCAGATTTTGCTCTAGGACGAATTCAGCAGATTGCTTATACCATTGCAGAGATTCCCTCTGCTCAGGAGCGTCTGCACCAGCTTCGCCCACTTTTGTAGGCTTAAACGGCTTCAAGTCTGTCTGTTCTTCAAGATCATCGGCCACTGTACGCCATTTCTGAGGACGGTCATACATGCTCATGACGGTACGGAACCAGTCGAAGTTTTCATACTTCTTAATTTTGCCGCGCTTGTCATGTATCGGAATCTTCTCCACCGGGACACGTATGCCTTTGGTCTTGCCAGGTAGCTGATGCCGCTTGAGATAGCGGATGGTGACGTCTTTGGCTGATCCGTCCGAGGAATAAGCAAGGGTGTATGCGATGACTTGCTTGGCTTTATCGGCGCGGGCTCCACGTGGTTCAAAGGTGCAAAGAAGATCTTCGGTCGAGGCAATTGTTGACAGCACGATAGGGTCGACGGGAATGTATTTATGACTGACGGGCGAGCAGACTTCTGTCCAGTAATTGGGATAGGATAGATCTCGATCATACTTCTTTGAAGGCCTCTTCCGAGGCGCCGGAGTGACATCTATTAACGAAAGTTCGTCATCGCTGTCGCTCTGAATGTCGGGTATGCGATTGTCTTCTTCGTCTGGCGGATCACTCAACTCGCTATCTGTGTCGTCGAGACTTATCGGTTGCGTCTTATCTCCTCTTTCAGACCGCCGCGTGGGCCTTTCCTCCTTTGGTTTAGATGCAGGCTTCTTCGTCTTCTTCGCGGACAGTTCGACGCCATCCGATGGTTTAGCCTTCGATACAGGAGTGGCGACTTCAATTTCAGATGTCTCATCTGCTTCCTCGATCTTTACAGCAGATTTTGCGGGCTTCAGATTTGCTTCTTCTTTCGCATTGAACGACAATCCTGCCGGCTGTAAATTTGCCACCATACGCGCTTCCAGTCCTAGCCCTCTAAGTAAAGCGCAAAACAATTGTGCACCCACATCTTTTGATCCCTCGCCTGCTTTTGCTAATTTACGTAGAGCTTCTCGAGTCTCGATTCTCTCGCCATGGGCGTCCGCATTGCTCTTGTCTTTTTCCCAGGCACGAATATCATCGCGTAATCGCTTGATGGGCATGTATCCTAGCTTCCGTAGGCAGGGCGCCGTAATGATAAACCGCTTCCTCCAGTATGCTGCGAGAACTTTCAGTAGCCTCAACAGTGGGTCACCGCGACTGAGATTTGGAATGCCTTGCTCAAGATGTTCGGCATCGTAACTCCAATTGCGACCTTTGCCAGCAGTGTCACTCTTTCGACCACCTCTACCCTTGCCTTTTGCTGCCACTCTCTTTTTCTTCTCCTCAAGCTCTTTCTTGCTCAGTCCACCCATCACTTCTTTCCAGCGACGTACTTCTCGCTTGACACCATCTGGCAGACCATCCAGGAGAATTTCATGAAGCTCTTTGTCGTTCAGCCATGAGTTTCGAACGGTATTGTGCCACATAAGCGACATGACATGAAGACAATGAGTCCGATACCGAGTCTGCCTTTCGCGCTTCGACGGACCCTTTTTACCGGTAGCGAGCGAAATGATGGGCTCGACATAGCTGCCATCCTCATTCAAAGAAATGGAGATGTCTCCAATTTCGGCATCTGTAGGAGGTTGAGCAGGTTGAGTCTGGTTCTGACCGAATGCGTCCTCCCATTCCATCCCTTCGTCATCTTCCTCATCCTCATCATTCTCTTCCTCTTCCTGTTTCCTTTGGACAGTCTTCCTCCGCTTCGAAGGAGGGACATCTTCAAACTCATCGCTGTCGACCTCGCTCAGGGAATCGCTATCGTCGCCATTGTCGAGACTTTCGATAAGTCTCCTAGTGTCTGCTGCTGATTTCTGAACAGAACTTGGCGCATCTACATCCTGGAATAGCGTTGCTCGATGTCCGCCATTACGAGTCCCGCTTTGGGGGGTTGGCTTGGCTGGTGAAGCTGTCGCTTCGGGGGAGAATTGTCGCTTGCAAGGCACGAAAGGCGGCATCACGACTTGATTGGAGGGAGTCTGGCATATCGCATCTTGCGATTGTACCGAATGATTGGACTTATGGAGATCGAAGCAAATGCAAATGATGTTTGTGCGCACATTGAGGCACCTAATGACACGAGAATCATGCGTGAAACGCGACGAAATTGTACCTGCATTGATGGTGATGTCATTCTGGCGATATCGTCTGTACATGTGTGGGGGGTTGTGAACTTCATCGTCTCATGCGATATGGGATACCATGAACGTGCACAATCAGCTTCAATCACCGTTTATGCCATTCTCCAACTGGACACAACAATTCGTGCGTGAGTTCGCACACTGTTCTGGCAAGCCATCGACGCAAATATCGCAGCCCTCGTTTGCCAATATTAGACGTGAAAGAAGGCTGAATGCGAGCTTCAGCATTGGCTGCGCCACGATGCGGCGAACCGAATCGGGAGACCGCCACAAGATGATTGTAACATCGTCTGCCGGAATCTCGACAACGATACAACCCTGATCGAGGCATGTTGATCTTCGCTTCTGTCCTCCGACTCAGCGGGCGCCATTTGAGATCAGGTGAGAACAATCAAAGGGCGATAACTCAGACGAGCAACCGACACCGGCACACGCGCTATGGATGCACAGCCTGCCGCGAGCGTCGATCTTCAAGAGCCCTGGAGGTTGACACAACAATGTTGCTCCAGCCTGGAAAGCCAGATTAGGGCTCAGAGCATGTTGATTCATCGTGATCCATAGATTGCGAGCAAGTCGGATCCACATTATAATAAGTCCAGACGTCTCCCTCCTGTGGTCTCATGAAGAGCCCAAGCAAGACCTCGCCTATCAAGAATCCAAACTATCGCTAGTCGGAAAAAGGCTTCCCCTGGAATTAAAACGACAAAGATTCCCCAGCGTATCACTCAAAGCGTCCCTCAAAATGTCGTCTTCATCCTCATCTCCACCCCGACCTCCACCTCTCAATGCGCCGCCATCTACCACCGCTGTCCGGGTCAGCGTCATCGATACCACCCTGAACTTAGTTGGTGCTCCCGCCTCGATGGTATGGCAGCCCGCGATCCCAGGCTTCGACCGCGTGCGATGCGGCTGTTGGTCTATCCTCATCACGCATCCACCTAGTGGACAGCGGCTGCTCTACGATCTCGGCGTGCGAAAGGACTGGCAGAATCTCGCTCCCGCGATAGGCATTCCGGGCTTGATGGATTCAGGGATCATCACGAAATTAGAAGTCGGTCAGAACGTCAGCGAGGTTCTTTCAGAGGCGGCTCCTGAGCATCGCATCGGTCTGGAGGAAATCTCCGCGGTGATCTGGAGTCATTTCCATTTCGATCATACCGGTGATGTGTCCACCTTCCCCTCAACGACCAAATTGATCGTCGGACCAGGGAGCAAGAAAGCGTTCATGCCTGGATACCCAGCAGATCCGCATGCTCAGACATTAGAGTCAGACTTTGCAGGTCGGGACGTAGTTGAGGTGGACTTCACGAAGAGTCCATTGCGAATCGGACGATTCGAGGCGTTGGATTACTTCGGCGACGGGAGTTTCTATCTGTTAAATGCACCAGGTAAGTGTGCGACACCTTATGATCATTACTACAAGCCCCAAACAAGTTCAAGCTGACCACGGAAACCATCAGGCCACGCCATAGGCCACCTCAACGCCCTCGCCCGCACCACCGTCTCCCCTCCAACCTTTATTCTCTTAGGCGGCGACAGCGCGCACCACTGTGGCGAGATCCGGCCCTCAATCTACACGCCTCTGCCGTCAGAAATCAGCCCATCACCAGTCCCACATCTCCACTCTCCAATTTGTCCCGGAGGAATTTTCTCTCCTCTCTTCCCATCTTCCGCTACCAAACCACACGCGACACCCGTACTCAGCCTGATCGATCCCTTCGCGGGCTCCTACCCGGATCCCAAATTTGCGCTTATCTACGATGATGACCAGCTCCGCGAGACGCTGGAGAAGGACGTTGAGTTGGATGCCTGTGCGGAGGTTTTCGTGCTATTGGCGCACGATTGGAGTCTCAAGGGGGTGATTCCGGAGTGGCCGATTGGGGACTTGAATGGCTGGGCGGAGGAAGGGTGGAAGGACGTTGGGCGGTGGAAGTTTCTGGAGGATTTTGAAGGGGGTCTTAAGAGTGATGAGGATGGTGGTAAATGAGGCGGAATGCGAAAGTCAGGAGATGAGATATAGTCCCGTCATGAACTCCGTCACTATGAATTTCGATTTCGGCCAAAAATAGTCATCATTTCTGTACTTCGCGCGCGTGAGCACATGAGCGTGTACGAAAAGTTTTGAAATACATTGAGCAGCAAAAAGAACTCAAATCATTCCTCGCACCGAACGGGATCGATGCTTTTCGTCAGTGGCACACATAGTCCCATGCCGCGCAACCAATAAAGCAAAAGCCAAATGGACATTCCATGCCCCATTGAGAACTCCGAATGAAGAAGTACAACAAGAAGTGCCATATAACGCCATCGCATGCTCACTTTTCCCCTGCTGTCGGAAAAAGACAGAACAACGAGCATAAAAGATGAGGGGAAGTACCAAACGGAAAATCGTCAAAAGCGCTGATCAGCGCAACATAACAAAGACCAAAAACAAAGCAGATAAAACGGACAGACGCGAATCGAAAAAGCAAATAAGAATGCCAAATAGGATGGTGTACATGGCGGAGAGGTTCGGAGACGAAATTTCGTCTTGAAAATTGCTTCATAGCAGTACAGACGTGAGCCAAAACGGTCAAAAAGAAATCGTCTTGAAAGCTCAATCTGTGTGAGAGGCATGGTATGTGCCTGACGATGCGGGCGTGCAAAATACAAGCGCAATGGGTATCTAATAAAGCACAGAACGAGAAGAAAATGCAAATGGGAAATGTTGCAACATGTGAACGACGCAGGACCGATCCGAGGAGGCGCCGTAGTGGTAGAAAGAGCGAGATGTCGAACGTGGATTGTGGCGTTTTTCCACAGTTCACTCTTTGCTGGTCGTATTGTCCAAAGGCAGGACGGGAGATTTGTTCTCCGCAGTGCCAGAAGCGCCGTTCTCATTAGCAGGAGACATCTCGGCGCTGTACTCTGGCTTTGGAGGTGAGGTCGAAACTGAGGTAGAGGTAGCCGGCGCCACTCCGCAGTATTCCTTGACCACGCCTCTCAGAGCAGCACGCTTGATCGGTTTCGCGAGAAAGTAATCCATGCCAGCTTCATGGCATGAAGTGACGTTGGATTCTGCAGCAAAGGCAGTCAAGGCGATGATAGGATTGCGAAAACCGGCGGAGCGAATGGCTCGAGTGGCCTGCAGGCCGTCCAGGCGCGGCATCTGTATGTCCATGAAGATGATGTCGAAAGGAGACGGCGTTTGGGGTGAAGAAGACGAGGACGACGACGACGACGACGATGACGACGAAGAGGATGCGGGGCACGAAGAATTTCCCATAGACGCCTGCACGATCTCGAGTGCTTCCTGACCATCATTGGCGAGAGTAATGTCGACAATTTTCTCAAGCTTAAGCATGCGTAGGACGACCAGTTGGTTGACCTTGTTGTCTTCGGCGACAAGCACACGGATGGGTAGTGCAGACGATGTATCGGTCATGGCGGCAGTGATGTCACTATTCGATGTGGTCGATGATATCTTCGACTCGTCGAGGGCCTCTGGTGATATTCCGGTCGATGGTGTTGATTGAGACACGGATTCCTGAAGGCTACTGGCGGTCATTTCCGAGCCCGGTGTCTGCGATTCTGCGCCCAGCGATGAGGCCGCTTCAGATATTCGCTTGATGAGAGGTGGACGGCGCGGTGCCAGCTCGTTATCCACAAAAAATGGACGCTTCTCGTCAAGGCGATACGGCGAGGGTTGTGGTGCACCGCACCCGCTAAAGTCCTCCATGAATACGTCTTTCCCCTCTCTCGCTGTGAACGATTCACATTCCGACTGCTGGACATGACGTAAGGGCAAATGGAAAGAAAATGTGCTTCCCTGGCCTGGAATACTGTTCAGGCTCATAGAGCCACCCATGAGGCTTGCGAGCTGTGAGCAGATGCTCAACCCGAGTCCAGCACCACCGTGTTGTCTGCTCAATCCGGCTTCGCCTTGAATAAAAGGTTCGAAGATGCGTTGCTGCATGTCTGTTGAGATACCCGGCCCAGTGTCTTTGACCTCAAATTCGAAATGCAGATCCTGTCCAGGCGGAAGCGATCGAGAACCCTCTTGTCGTCCTCTAGCGATAGCTGTATGGGGTTTGATCAGATTCGCGGTACCTTGCTGCAGTGTGTCTTCGTAATGCAGACTGTGACGCCGGTCGAAGGTTAGAGAACGCCGGAGCGGCGTCGATGTCAACGATCCCGACGGTGTGATTCCGACGCCGACCCACTTCGCCGCAGTACATTTGATCCCCAGGGTGATACTCCCGCCAGCGGGAGTAAATTTCAGGCTATTCGATACGAGGTTGATGACGACCTGCAGGATGCGGTGCGGATCGCCCCATAGGAGAAGGTTTCGAGTGTCCAAATCCGACGTGCGTGATTGTGCCTGGTATAAGCCAGTCTGAGTACCTGCAACCTCTCCTTCAAACAACATGTCGTCGAATATAATCTTGAGGTCAATCTTCTTTTCTGCGGCTTGCTTCGCGAATAGCGCGTATATTTGTTCCTCGACATCACGCAATCGGAATCCTCTTTCTTCGAGGGTGGCAACCTGTTCAACCTGATTTCGGCTGAAAGTGAGTAGATCTGTGAGTAATTTGAGAAGCAGATCGCCACTCTTGTAGATGATACCAAGGGATTCTTTAATTTTCGATGGATCATCCTCTTGCATGCAGACGGCGCACATGCCAAGAATACCGTTCAGGGGGGTCTTCAATTCATGACTGATGTTGGCGATGAAAAGAGTCTTGGTCTCGTTAGCTGCTTCTGCCGCCTTCTTGCTTTGCTCCAGTTCCAAAGTCCTTTGTCGAACACGGTCCTCGAGTCGCGCATATTGTACAAACAGCTCATCCGACATTTCGTTGAACGTCGTAGTGAGCTCTGTCAGTTCATCTTTGACGAGGTGCTTGCCCACTCGGACCTTGTTGGGAATTCGGAATGGCTTGTCCTCCATCATTCGACGTTGAAGTTCGGGATCATCGAGTCGCGGTCGCCATTTCAGCGTCGAAGTCATGAAGCCCCCATCCTTGCAGGCAAACGCGTAGGGGTTAGCCTTTTCGCTGCCAGACGTGTAGCTTATATCATCTGATTTCGGGGGATCCATGGTCTCGGCTGTGGCGACCCGCAACCGCCGAATGGGCAGAATCGCCCAGTGCGCCATGGGAAAGGACACAATTGCGAGGAAGCCTACCACACTGAAAACACACGCCAGGAGTATATCTCGGAGGTGATAGATCGGCTCCCAGGTTTCCGATCGTGCTTGCTCAACCACAATCACCCAATCGACCATCGGGCTTGGTGTGAGCGAATAGCCAACCGATACCGACTTTCCTGCCTCGTTGTACGTGTCTATCAAGGTATCAGTATTATCGACATCGCCACTCCTCTCTGTAATGGCTGCATCAACAGCGGGGTACTGGTCTGCAGAAAAAGGCTTGTTCGCAGTGCCGGCCACGTGGTCAGGATGGCGATCACTCATATTTGCATTGAGTGGAAATAGATAGCGGACGTCATAGGTTGGCCTTGTCCCGGTCTCTTCGTCATATCGGACACCCGCGTCAAATAGGTTGGATGGACCTATTGGGCCAAAAAGTAGCGTCTGACCAGTATCGCCAAGGCCTTCGGGAGCCGCAATGACGGATTTAATGAGCGCCGCATCCATGACTACAGTGAGCCAGCCAAGTCCATCTGCGCGAGAGGTACTGTTGAGGATTGGCAAGGTGAGTGAAATGAGAGAAAAGCTTGCATTCACAGTTAAGGGTCCTAGAACCAAGGTGGAATTCTGGAGCAAGCGTTTGCCGTTGTACACAGCGGATGTCACGGTCAAGTTCTCAAAACGGTCCTCCGCGATCGTGAGGTTGGGATACAGCATGCTCGGATAGCCTACGCCAACGTCCCCGAGATTAATCTGAGTTCCATTGGGATAATACCAGGGCAATTCGATAGGTCTCAGAGTCCGACCCGTGGCGCGGAGGACGCTGACACTGGCGCTTCGATTTCTGATATCCTGGGCGAAGACTTGAGCTTGCAGAGCCAGAGCATGCCCATTGGAGTTGATATCACCCAGACTAGACTGGATATCGTTTTGGGCGCCTTCAAAGTTGGCCGAGGTGAGGTTCGTACCATTTCCATAGCGGGCAAGACTGTTCTGTATGGATGTACGCGTTGTGATGAACCCGGCAACGGTTTCCATAAGCTCCAAATTACCAGAGATCTGTGCAGCCTTGAGCGAAGCTGCATTGCGCAACCGGGAGGAGGCGACATCGAGGACGAAATTGTGATTCGTGTACCAGACCGAGAGAGAGATGACAATCAGGCCAAGAAGAGAGGAGGCGAGGATCAGGCAGGCTAGTTGTTCCCGGATGGAAACGCGCATTGTCAGAGGCAGTCGCGCCCTCGCCGCGACCATCCGGTGTTGCAGATGATGGAACTTCATGACATTAGAGGGCGGCGGCCTCGCGGTGAGTGTGGGATGACACTATCACCGGCGTCGACCATTCCGAGGGATGGATTTGTAAGTTTCGCTTTGGGTGGATTGCTGTCGGATATTCAATGTTCAGTACACATTCTCGTTGTAACAACAGGCAAGCAGTATGAAGGAGAAGTGAAGTCGAGATTGGGGAATCGGAGACTGTCCAGGTGGTGAGCGCTGGCGTCAGAGTTGATGGGAAGCTTGGCGGGACGAGTGGTGCACAGCACCAGGCAAGACGGGTCGAGAGAAAGGGAATTCCCGCCGCCTGCTGCTGTTCTCACACACCACACCCTTTCATCGTTACTCACCCAGATGGGCACCTTCGGCTGGCCGATGAACGTTGGCCGCTGGGGCCGCCGCACGCTACAGCAAAATGGATCCTTCGGCGTTTGAACACGATACTACAGTAGATGAATTGTAGGAGACATGGCATTATTTTCTGCTGCAGACAATGTTAAAGGCCCGGGTACATGAGAGTTCTTCGCGTCTCCATACAGTCATAGTCTTCTCCATCGCATATGACCCACGCAGAAGAAGCATCATGTCCATTGCAAACGAAGAGAGGTAAGCACATCTTGCTTCTCCATCATTTTTACGAATAATCTAGATTCGATGCTAGGCTATTCCTGTAGGAGGATGGAGAGCTGATAGCACCGTATCGAAGGAGGTGAGGAACGTGCGCGCAGCGATTGCTACCATTGTGAGTGCACTGCACAGCATCGGGAAGGTAGCAATGCACATTGACAGGAGAGCTTGACGAAAAAGAGGGATCACAAAGTGCTTCAACATCTGGCACCGAGACATTCTGGCAGGTCCAGAACTCGAGAGAATACAGCGGGAACCGTTTTGTGATCATCCCCTTTGCCACGCGCGTGCGGCGCTCAGGCCCCGGTCCTGTCCAGACGAATCGGGTATCGATCCATCAATCGTCGGGGATCCTTAGGGCTTGGCATCGCTGCTGCTTATCCATCGGGGAGAATGGAGAGGAAAGCAGTGCGCGCGAGTGAATTGTGATAATGTCTCTTAATCGTTGATACGGGTGATCTGCACACTCGTCAAGGAACATCAGGTGGGTCACATACCGCCGCTGTTGATATTTGGTCGCTTCTTCTCTGGATGAACCGTATTGTAGTGATGACTGCGGCCGACGCCAGCACCTCCACCTCTGCTCGCGTGCCGCTGCGACGCCACAACTCGTCCTCAATGCCAAAGCTGGCATGAGCGACATGTCGACGGCTGATACCAATGTGTAGATTCTGCTGATGGATATAGTCTGACCGTGCATACACGTCCAGGACCGCACCTTGGTGAACGTGCACATTAAAATCAAATCCACGAAATCTCTATGCATGACCTGTCGTCAATCGCAGATGATCACCACTCAAATTCAGGACCGTACCAAACATCATTGCCATCCATCTGCATCAGATCTGCAGTGCTGACAGTGCCAGTACCATTGGGCCTCTCATCATTACTCCCATCAGACGGTACATTCTCACACGTCCTCCGATGCCATTTTTACTCAAGTTTCCTTCCAGGCCTGATTCATCCTGCATCCTGCTCGGTCACATCCGTCAATACCCACACAAATGCTGCAGGTGGTCATGTGAATTCTAGGCAGAATCGCGCCGCCACAATATCGCATACGCTTGGATGCCGTTCTGGATGACATGCGGCACGGATGTGGAATAGGGCTGTCGATCAGCAACACATCCAAGGCTTGGACGACGCGATGGGTATTGAATTTTTGCAATAAGAAATGATAGCAAGGTGGATCGGTCCCCGAATGATGGCCTATGTACGCACTGTGAAGTGATGGTGATGGCAGGCGAGCAGGCAGATACATATCACGTGTGCGAGCGTGAGGATAACCCAAACCCTAGTATAAACCCTAGTCGATACACTCACGACCATTCAAATCGTCTAGGTTCCTCGCCTCCTCAATGCAGGACTATCTCGCAATAGAACTCGCGTCCCTGATCAGCTCGAGAGTTGTACAGCTTTGACTTCTGTGACGGAACATATGCTCGCAGCGACCGATAATACTCGCAAGGCTCTGGGGTCGCGATGCCCCAGATTCGCTGTCTCATGCAGGTGTATACTCATTTACTACTATATAATCATGACAACGCCTCAACATGAGAATTGTTGGCCTCCAAGATCCCATCCATCAACTCTGATTCGTTATTGTCTGCGAAGCATCTCGAGGGGAATGCCTATGTGTCATTCGGGCACACATGTGATACCTTGCACATGTGACAGCGCGCATAGTCGTGTACCAGTGAAAGACAGAGCAACAGCTTACACAATAACGAAGAAACAGTGCAGCCCCACGCGTTGTCCGAGACACCTCTCCGCCCGCATATGCAAGGGTCCAATTTTCAAACACCCAACACCTAATCGTCGTATGAATGTCGCATGTGCCACTTTCACAGCCCTGCGTTGAGGGACCTCGGGACTGAATGGTCTCCATCTCAAGGACAAGGTTATAAATTTATAGACAAGATAATCCCCAAATATTGGGTTGATGTCCCGCCGAGGTTATAGAACTTTCGCCGAACCCCTACTGCAGGCACCATGGAGATGTCCTTTTTCTTTTCGCGGCTACACAGCACAAGGGCAAGGGTTTCGCTCCTCGTAGGCGGTCGCGTGCTGAGCACGTCGAGATGGACGCGAGCAAGACGTGCATGTCGTGTTGCATGAGATGGACTAGTACAAAGTACCTACTTTTTGTTTTTGGACCAATGGCGATATTTGTAGCAGACCGCTGAGTCGGACACCGAGCTTTATCGTTTGTGTAGTTTTCTTTGTTCAAAAGTCGAGAATGCTGGATTTCGTGTCAGGCCAGCATCCGTCGAATCTCCTGTAGCGGATAGACGTGCTAGCGGTATTCTTGCCTGTTCATCTTCACATCAGATGTGGTGAGGGTGATTCTCGCGAACACAACCGAACGGATTGATTATAATGGTATATCGCAAAGAATGGAAACTTGCTCAGATCTGCCCAGATTGGGAAAGCCTGGATGACGGAATCTCTAGGGACTATGTTAAGTCTCACGTCAGCCCTTTTTGCCGCTGCGGTACCACACGAATACTTGAATCGTAAGGAGATACCGGCTTGTCTATCCTTGTATAGTCCATGTGACAATGAGATCCGCAGAAGAATGATAATGAAGGGGACCAAATCGTGGGACTGATTGAGACCCTTGCTCGAAATCTTTCCAGTACTGTATAGTATTACAATAGCAAATACCAATGTCGGCGGTCACCGCCACGTCGCTTGAATGTCTTGTCCATCTCCCGGCGCGGGCGTGGGCGATGGTGGTGGTGGTGGTTGTAGTGGTGGTGGGGAAACACAGGCGTGATCCAGCGCTGGTTTTGGTCTCTCCACGCATTTCAGTCGCGTATTGTACTGAACAATCACATCACCATCCTTCCGAGTACTATCACCGCCCTCACTCATGCACACACACACTATGGTTGGTCATTCATCACCACCACCACCGCTCCTCTTCCTTCCACCCACACTCCCGAATCCATAGAAATCACAGTGCCATCCTGTATATAGCCACAGCTCTTCCGCAATACATACATCTACTTCTTGGTACCGGCTCAGCTCACAATATCCTTCTCTCCCCTACACTTCATATTCCTCTCGTCCACAGCGCCTTCCCTTGTCCTAGACACTGCGAATGCTACTGCCGCCGCTACTACTATTGTATCTTGTCACCCCGTGCCACCAAACACCAAGAATTCCTACCGATCGTCACTCCTCCCGTGACCTACCGTGCCGACATTACGACACACTCCTCCGCGAGAGTTTGAGCAAGTTTTGACTACACTACCGCTTCCCTCGACAAGCGAGAGGGTGTCCAAAAACACATATTATTATTATCAGAGCCATCACAATGAACGCCCAACAAGTCGCATTCACAGCCGACAACATGGAAATGAGCCAAACCGCCGCCTCAGCAGTCACCTCCATCGTCACAGGCATGGCCGCTCCTACGAGTACAGTGGTCTCGTCGATGGGAGGCATGGATATGAGCCCTACAGTTTGCAAGATTTCTGTAAGATTAGTCCTCGTCCGTGGTGCATGGCGGTAGAGAGAAGGAAGAAAGAAAGACAGAAAGAAGGAGGCAGAGCAGCAAAGCCAACAGTGACGCAAGAGGAGACACGGAACAGGAATACTGACGAGAAGCCGTACATCCAGATGTTGTGGAACTGGTATACGATTGATTCCTGTAAGTCCTTAACAGCTGTGCGAAAGTGCTCTCAGCCTTTTCACTGTCGCTGACGAACGTCCCTCCCAGGCTTCATCGCTCGCAGCTGGCACGTCCGTTCGCACGGCACCTTTGCTGCCACATGTGTCGGCGTTGTACTACTCGTCATGTCCTTAGAAGCCCTCCGGAGAGCTGCGAAGGAATATGATGCACGTATCGTCAAACAACGAATCGCTGAGCTCGACGCTGCTGATGGCGCATCCGGCAACGCCACAGCCACCATCACCGCAGGTTCGAGCGACGACGACGAGGACGCCATTAACAAGCCCACCGCTACGAGCACCGTCGCCGCTGCGGCAGGCGCTGCTCGACGATTCACCCCAACGCTCACCCAACAACTCATCCGCGCGACCTTCCACCTCCTACAGTTTGCTGTGGCGTATTTCGTCATGTTACTGGCGATGTATTACAATGGCTACATCATCATTTGCATTCTCCTCGGCGCATTTTTGGGCTCGTTTATTTTCGGCTGGGAGAGCATCGCTTTACCGTGAGTCGTGAACCATTTCCCTCTTTCACAATTTTGGTGAGTTGCAGAGACTGACGCGCAGACAGTGTACCAGGCCAAGAGCGTGAGCGCGAGATCACCTACTGCTGCGGATAAGGGATGGCGCCGATTGTCGGTGGGGCGAGATGCGATATGGAGAAAATGACCAGTGTTCCAGGTCACAGCATGAACATGGGAGTGAAAGGAAAGGAAGGGGAGAGAACGGGAGATACCACACGAAGGTTTTGATGATTTCTATCAGCATTGGGAAACCGGCGGTGAACGATTTTATTTCTTGAATGAGAGAAAGAGTATTGAACATTTTGACAACGGGGTTCATTAGTCAATAGCACCGCGTCTATGTTCAGGAATTTGAACACGATTTGACCCTCGGACAGGGAAATGGCAGGGATTTTCATATTCGAACAGCAGCAGATATCCCGTGCCAAAGCAAGAGCAAAGGAACGAGCAAGACGACAGCACAGAGGCATCGCGCACGGCATAGCAAGAGATGCAAGTCCGTGCCAAATCTTCTTTTCCCTGGATGGCAGACATGGCTAAGCCGTAGCTTGCGGAAAAAGCCCATCTCAATGGGGCCTGCTACATCAAAAACGGAACAGAGAGAAAAAGATGGGAGATGTTCTTGCAGACGTGTTTCCGCTTCTGCGTGCTTGATCTTTTGGGTGGCCCCAGCGTCTCCTTGCTCCACACTCGTTTCGAGCGATGGGTCGCGTCGAATTCTTGGAGAGGAGGAAGCTCTCAATGTCTATCTTCCCTTCCTGTCTCTGCACAGAAAGTCGAGGAACTTTTGGGAACCCGGAATGTACTGATTTGCGAAGTGTTGTAATGGCCTCTATTCGACATGGGGATGGTAAGCTCTCTGCGACTTTTCATGGGTTCCGAAGTCTTCAGTCCACGCTCTCTGTCTCGAATCCCCTCTTCTTCGAGGAAAGAAGATCTGTTGGATCGTCCCGAGGCTCTGTCCCTTGAGGACCAACTTTTTTTTTCCTCGGAAGAGCTGATGCTTGTTGAATCCAGATCATTTCTCGAGGAAGTTCAATCTCTTGGATAGCCATCAATGCCGGGGTCTCTTTCTTGGAGGACTTGGCTCGGGAATGCCTTGTTGGAGGAGACGACTCGAAGACCCTCCCGGGCCGTCATTTTGGATGCCGTCGTGTGTTTCAGCAGCGACTGTTGCCCTGTAGAACGCAAGGTTGTTTGCGGACATTTGAGTATGAGGATGTTCCTCGCCGAGCACCCTCTTCTGTGTCTCCCAGCATTGCTCCGTCATCTCTATCGCTCGCCCTCCATCGCTAGTAGACTTTTCAATGCAACAGGTATCCACCCAGGCATATTTGATGTCATCTGCAGCGGCTTGATCCAGGCAAAACCGGAGTATATTTAGCCAGTCTTATGGAGGCACGTATTGCCAAGGAGTTATTGATATGTGACTTCCTGATCAGCAATCCATGTATGCGATAGAATCGCATACGGATGGATGACATCAGTGTCAAATGAAGTCAGACTAAGCTGGCCGCTGGGCGTGCGTGAAAGCAGACGCATGGTAGATGGCGTGTGCTACGATGCAGGCTGGCGCGCTCAGTAGATTTCCGGGTTGAATCATGGCTGACCACAGTGCTTCAACGATGTCAAAGACATTTTTAAAAGAACCACAATGAGTCTGAACAACTGTGTTTGTGGTCGTCGGCGCCCTCTTGCGCAGCATGGCCCAAATATTGTGGCTCATCATAGCATGTATCTAGCAGGCACAGCCTCGCTGCACTCATTATTGTGTTTCGGAATGTGATCGGCTGGCTGATCTGTAAGTTTGCATGCAGGTGTCGAAAGTTTTGGCACGCTATTAAAGAATCCAGGAGAGCAGGTTACATGGCTGAAGTTCTGTCGAGGCATCAAAAAGCGACTTACGCCCAGCGTTGCCCTATTTTGCGCACATAGCGCACAGAACACTCAGCAAGGCGGAGAGACGGCGTCAAGCTTGCTATTCACATATGAGGACACGATACCGACCGTCATCCAGCCTTGCTTCCTCCTTCGAGCATGATTTCTTCAAGCGATGGCGCCGATGCAGTCTGTAACTTGTCCCTCCGTGTACGCTGGGCAACGATTGTCTTTAAACTTGTCGGGACCTTGCGATCGCGAGCGAGACACTTCTGTGGTTGTTCATTGAACAGGTGGAAGTGTCTTCGGTTGGCGCTCCACGCTCTAGAAATTTGTGACTTCTCATTGATGCCCATGGCGGAGACCGGCGCAAGAGAACGGCCTTGAGCGGAGTCTCGCCTTCCGATAATGCTTCCGGAAGTTATTGGTAAGAGACTCAATGGAGCTCTTCCCGCTTCCAATTCTGACGGCCTTTCGATCGAGATATATGGTTTTAGCCAGGGCGGCACATTTCCATCCTCATGTATATGACCTTCGATTTCCTCTTGTACGTCGTTCTTCGACTTTCAATGATTGAGAACATCTCGGACTATCCCTCACGAAGCGATCTGTTCCATCGCCCAACGGATCAACGCAGCCTTCTCCCTCGCTCGAGAAAAAGCTTCCTCGTTCACGCCTGTGCCCTTGACGCTGCCTGAACTTGCACCCGAAATGCTGCTATTCGCAGTGCCATTACCGTCGGAAACCATACGGTCACCACCACTAATCGTGACACCATCGTGATCTGCTGTGACTCCATCCAGATCCATGTTCTCCATGCCATCCTCAACCTTTGGCTGTAGTGGTAACTCAACCGCGTTAATGCCATGATTCCCAAAACTCCCACCGTCCGCCGCCGCCGCCGCCAAATTTAAGTCCTGCTCGAAGAGTGGTATCAATTCCGCCACCAGCTTCGCGCCCAAGTCCGAGACGTACCAGACGTGCCTGACAAGGTGCAGTCCAACGCCATAAAAAATCACGATCAGCGAGGCGTTCAAATCTCCGCGTTGAAAGTCCTCAATAAATTGCGGCGACTGACGGGGTCCCCAGGCCATGATCCCGGACTCAGAGCCCGCAGTCTTGTACAGCACGAGTGCGCGAGAAAAGTCATCGATGGCCGTGAGGAGAGGAGTGAGCTTGGCGTGCGGTAGAGCCGTGCTGACGATGAGCTGGCGTAGTTGCAAGATCTTGGCTTCGAAATGGAGATCCAGGTCTGATGCGGAGGAGGGGCTGAATCCGTTTGCAACAGGTGTGCCACCAATTGGAGAGATGATGGGCAATTCATCACTTTCGCTCCGAGCTGCAGCAACTACCGCTGCAGCTACTCCCCTCGGATTTGGCGATGGGATGCCGTGGAAATGGTCGTCGTCGCCAGGATGAAGTGTGGGGAGGTGGATGGTCGACTCTTCAACAGGCACGGTCATTATCTCTCTAGTACCGACTGGGACCCCATCCGGTATGGGATTGAAGGACTCCGCGTAACCTTCTCCAACGACAGGCGCGTATACGGCTCCGATGGTTGCGGTACCGCGCCAGAGCTGACACACTTGCAGCAGCTGAGCCTTGGCCGAGGATTGTCGCGCAGCAGGTGTTGTGAATGTAGCCAATCCGATCAGGCCGATGAGGGCGGACGCCCAGAAACAGGCCTCAGCCTGATTACGAGAAGGGTTTTCAAAGAGCGTGGGCAAGATCTTGAGGGTGCGGTCACGGTAATTCAAGGCCAGCGAAGTATAGCGTGCAGCCTCACCGTTTGTGTCCTCCGGGTCACTGCGAAGGCGCAGAAAAGCCATGTGCAAAGAAGTGAAGCTCATTAGAGCGAACAAGAGATAGTCATGCTTCATAGCCAGTAACGGCATGCTTTCCTGCCAGAACGATGATGGAAAAGTGGCAGCGTCGCAGGTCTGCCAAGTGCGTATGGTGAAGTGATGCATGATCTCCATCTCGACTGCGTAAGAAGGGACATGATTGACGCTGTGATTGGATGGAGCGGCAGATAGGGGCGATGCTGCGGCGATTGATGGCGTATTGGGGTCATCGGGACTTGCATAATTCGTGGCGGATAAAGACGAGATCGATAGTCGTGGTGTTTGGTGTGGCTGTGATGATTGTTTGACGGGCGGTTGATGCAGCGTCGGCTTTGGTGTGGAGTTCGAGTCTTGAGCGTAACTGCATTCCGAAGATCGTCGAATGCATCCACGGCAGATTGGTCGTGTCTCATCGCACTATCGGTGTGTAAACAGAGGAATCGGTCAGTAAAGTGGAACGAAATTGATATGAGGAGTCTGAGCACGGTAATGGAAGCGCGTTGCGACGATGATGCATGGCGTGACTGCATTAATTACATATCCGCGCATCTCAGCTTCTCGGTTGAGGCTTGCATGCTTGCTTGTTGCCTTTCGTTTATGTTGAAAGTTGTTTCCTCCTCACTTGTACTTGCTTTGAGTATTGTATCGGATCGTGGACCCTGCCTGCAGCCAACCTCATCGAGCGTAAAGCCTTATCCAAGCACCCCGGGAGGAACTCAATATGAAAGCGACTGAAAATATTCAACGTACCTTGACGCGTCTCTGCTTGCACTGATCACAGCCATTGCGCGACTTCTTGTGCCATCGTCGCTCCACCATTGGGAATTGCCCAGGCGGCGGAGAGACCAATAAGAAAGAAAAAAGACGGAGAAGGATTGAGGGTTCGCCAGTAGCGATGTGAGTGGTCGTCAATCATACATCCGACATCACTGATGCGGAGGATCGCTTCTTTGCTTGGTCTCGTCGCCTGGATGAAATCGTTCTGACGTTACTGGAGTGAGTTGAATCCAAATTATGCACGGGGAAAGAGCTACCGAGGCTTGGCTGTTCCTTGCGTATGATGACGAAAGCGCGGTCTTAGATGGGAGTGATGCCTTGTATTTAACGAAAGTGATGTGTCATGTTCAAAATAAGGTAGGAGAAATCGTGCAATTCGATATGCGTGTTGACTGAGAGCAGAGCAGCGTCTGTCTCTGCGATAAAGGTGGCGCGCATACGTGGACGTCGAAACGAAAGGAAGAGGAATTATGCAGCAGACACGAGGTGGAGAATCTAGCTGTCGATCACTTCTCCAACTGCGAAGCCGTCTGGAGTGTGACAGTGACAGATGCTGCAGAACCAAGAAATGATGAGAGGAGGAGGTGAGGGTATGCCTGAATGTACCTACAGTAGGTAGTATTGAATCGTGCACACAAGACCAATCAAGAAAAGTGTGAAGAATTGGCGGTGGTCGACGGCGTTATTCGTGCAGGCCTGGGGAATTTGAAGTCGATATAGAGTTTGAGAGGAACCTTGGAGTGGTTTCCTGCTGACAGCGGGCAAGCAATGTTCTGCCTAGGAGCCTACGCATGCCGAACCCGAGCAACTTGCGGGCAAGGCATACATGGGTGTAAGGTTTTCCACCGGTATTTATGCAACCGTCTGTCAGGACCGGCTGCCGATAAATCCCCAGGTAGCTGCATAAAAACAAACCCTTTCAAGGCCACAGGCGTGAGTCAAACTTGTCTCACCCTTTGCTTTATCCGCTGCCGTCCGATTGCAATCGTTCCAAACACACCTGGGCACGTCAGCAATAGGAGAGAGAGACGAGAAAAGAAAAGTACCTGAAGACCAACATCGCGATGCATGAAATCGTATGTACAACTCGGATGAGAACAACGCACTGCCAAGGCTGACGGGAATGGGAATACTAAGACTTGAAACTTGCTTGCGATCCTGTGCACGTCTCGGACAAGAAGAAAACACCGGCATTTAAGACATAAATGTGAACATGATGATATGAAGTTTTTTTGTAATTCAAGATATCTATCTATGAAACCTGAGGAGAAATAGAAAATTGTCGCTCATGCTGACGATGCAGACAAACTCAGGTATCGAATGGCGAACAAAGAAGAAGGAAATGGCTAAAAGGTATATAGAGAATTCCGTTCGCGTGGTGTGTCACCCTCTTCGGGGGCCACCGCCGTCGTTTTCGTTCCATCATCACAGACACGCAATAGGAAGTGGGGCATGATATTAATGGCCAAGGCAAACCTCAAATCGAGACTTTGGCTAACATCTTTAAGCCGCGCCAGCGCTGGCCGGAGGTTGGATAACCTTCGTGACCTGCGCGCCGGCACGAACCAAACGGTTGCCGTTGGCGTCCTTGTAGAGTTGAGCGCCTTCCTCGCCAGCGCCGCCACGCTTCCAAATCTCGACCTCCATGCCGCCACGGATGACACCGACGCGCATGGTGGAGAGCAGGTTGTGGGCGGCGTTGCTGTGGAAGTAGACACCTCCGTTGAACATAGCGGTGGCGTCCTTGCCGAGACCGGAACGGATCATGGCCTTGCCACCAGGGTGGTCGTTGATGAAGTCGGAAACATCGTGGACGACACCAGCGACAGCAATGAGAGCGCGACCGTTCTTGGACTGGTCAACGTAGTCATCCCACTCCATGACGGGAAGCTGCTCAAGCGGGACACCCCAGTCCAGCTTGGCACGCTTCTGGTCAAGCTTCTTCTGGAGCTGCTGAACACGACCCTTCTCGATCTCGTTGGAGCGGAACTGCTTCAAGTCGTAGGCGAGGCCGAGCTGCTTCCAGAGCCAGATGGACCACTTCGTGGGGTCGTACTGGTGCCACTCAATCGCGTTACGGTAGTCCGAAGGGAACTCGTGGTGGAAGTTGTGGTATCCCTCACCAAGAGTGACGAGAGCAGTGATGATGTGGTCACGAGGAGAGTTGCGGTCGTCGAAGGGCTGGTCGCCGAGCCAGTGAGCGAGAGAGTTGACACAGAAGGTAGCCTGCTGAACGAAGAAGATGCGGAGAATGCCACCGTAGATGAGACCTCCCATCCAGTCACCCCAGCCGAGACCAGCGACGAGCATGGGGAAGATCAGACCCATGAAGATGACAGTCTTCAAGTAGTTCTTGTGTTGCCACTGGACAACCCAGTCGTCGTTCAGATCGGAGATGTCAGTACGTCCGATGCGCTTGGGGTTTTGCTTCATGATCATCCATCCCAAGTGGGAGTAGAGGAGACCCTTGCGCACACTGTAGGGGTCCTTGTCGGTGTCGGTGTAACGGTGGTGAGCGCGGTGGTCCCGAGCCCACCATCGGATAGAGCCCTCAACGGCACCACCACCAACAGCAGCGAGGAAGATCTTGAGCGGGGTAGTAGCTTGGTATGAAGTGTGAGCCCACAGTCGGTGGTATCCGGCGGTGATACCGAGACCGGTAGCGTAGTAATATGCAATGGAGAAGATGAGGGTCTTGATGGTCAAAGGTGTCCAGAAAGCTGCGACACAGCCGCTGATTGGAACACCGATGATGAGCACGACGTTGAGCCAGTTGACATGCTTGTACCAGTTCTTCCTCGTCATGGGGGTCTCGGTGATGTGAGGCTTCTTCGGGTCATACTTGGGGTTGCGGACCGGCTCTTCCGGTGCCGGCTTTGAGAGAGATGAGGGTTGTTCGGAGAGGTATGCCGGGTCGACGGCCATCATGCCTGCAGTTGGCTGATGCGAAGGCATCGCGGTGGCGGTATGAGTGTGTAGCTTGTCAAGTAACTTGCCAATGATCCGACTCTTCCACTTTCTGGTAAGGACAAACGGTCTGCTGAAACACAGAACTGCAATCTGAAAGCGCAGCAAGGTGATGATAGTAAGTGAAGGGAAGAAAGGGGAGAATGAGGTTGGATACAAAGGATATATGTAGTAGATGTAGGAGCGGTGGTCGTAGTAGGTAAATAGTTGGCGGCGTGCTCGTTCGCCATGCACAGTACAATGTACAGATTCAACACTATTCGGCCGTAGCTGTTGAGAGACTGCCTGGCGCGCCTCCCGCGCCGAAGCCGAGGGGCGTAAAGGTCAGAAAGTGTGGGGAAAGGAAGGAAAGTTGGCGCCAAAGCTTCCACCACTTCCACACACGGCCGGCGCGTGTCTCAACGCAATCGATGCCAGTCCCGGTACCATCCATGGAGTGATTCATCACGAATAAGTTCAGTACATCATCAATTGTATACAGTACATGTACAGGTACGCAGTCTCTTCGCGTGGCATAAGAATGAATCAGAAGGCGACGGACATCTGGGCCCAGCCGGGAGCTACCAATGTCTTTTTGGTGCTCGTCTTCATCATCACTTTGGCCAGTACCTACGTAATCCTCTCTGATGGGCGTATTATCTATGATAACAGCGATTGGGCTTTTGCTATGTATCATTTGCGCAATTATAGGTCACATCACAGCTTATCACGAGAAATGCTCCCCTCGATAGTGCTGCAAGATGTCTCGCAGACGCTCACCAGGCTCCATCCAATCCCCTCGTTGACGTTTTCAACCCTCTGGGCCGGATCATTGTTATCAGATCGCAAAATTTCCCGACCGCCTATTGATCGTGAGATAACTGCCGAGGCCATGGTAACTCCGTCCCATCCATTTCATTTTCTTTCACGCATTCTGGACCCGTACCCTATTGATATCAATGTTCATAGATGATGCGAATGTTGTCGACCTGTGACGCGGGCTGATACATTATGAAAGCCGGTCCTTGATATATCCTCTCAACAGTGACACGAGTGTGTAGCAATTTGATGCGCATTCCCTGACATGCAAGGTACGGTAAGCACAATCAAGGGTAACGCACACTGTAGTGGTGTCCTGTACTGCTGCTGCTGAGCGTCTCAACCGGCCGTAAGCTGGATGGATGGAACAAGCATTTTGGACGCCACCCGCACTTCATCCGCGACTCCTCTTTCATCATACACCTCAAGAGCAGATCCACCTGTACCTTCTCCGATGACTAAAGCCGACTCAACGGGCGAGACGAGCTCTGGACACTCCGCTGCTTCATGAATCTCCTGGATCGTCACTTTGGTGGCGGTCTGTCAACGCCGCTGCCCGCAGCAGGGGGGGAGATTTGTTCAGAGTGGATTATGTCGTGAAGATCACCCGCATCCTCAGCCAATGACGAGTGGCTAGAGGCACGATCCGCGGCTTTATCGCGAAACAAACGATCAAGCTTCATGCAAAACTCTATCTGTGAACTACCCTTCTGTCAATCTCCTCCTCTGGGCAATCTCGAAGCATCTGTCCTCACTGCCTCGGTGGATCGACATGATTGTTCTCTGGCAGATTGGCCCAACCATCTCGACTGCAGAAAGGGACATACGCGCTTAACCATATCTCAATCTGCCCGCACTGATCTCTCGCATGCGATCACGACGCCGCCTCTTGGTTTCGATCGTCGCTCATGTCCCTGACACGCCTGACTGGGTCTACCGTCCGACCGATCAAAATCTGGGGAAATGCGCATCTTCCTGTCGTGATAGGCGTTCATTCGTTGATTTCCTGGTCCGTGAGCGAGATTGCGCGAGAGGGGCTCGCCCGTATCGTGCTGCTGTTCGATTCACAGGAATTTCCGCAGACTGCCAGAAGGCAGTGTGCCAACAGGCACTTGTGTGTACGGAAGAGCGAACCACTTCGCAAAGCCGTATAGCAACGGCCTTGCGCGCGGAGTAGTTTCGCCCGCTTTGAAGATCCTTGTCCGCGACACGCAATTGGGTTCATGCCGCCGCGTGACTTATCTATTTGCCACCCCGCTGTCGATCATCGAAACGGTCCGTGAGCAACCAAATGTCTACAGTATGCGTTTCGTACCGCGCATCGTGCGAGTTTGCTCTTACGGTAGAAAGACATCCAAAGCTCTGAGAAGTTGTGGCAACAAGGCCGGCGAAGCCTGGTTGACTGCATCGCGTGAACAGGTCAAGTGAAGCCCAGTCATTCCACACAGCCGCCGAATCACAGAAGATTGTCGTGATACGCCCGTAAGCCAGTTCTTGGTTCGGCATGCTGCCGAACCGTTACTACCTAGGTACACACATTACGCTTGATCACTCAACGCATGAGCACTGTAGACGTAACAATAAATAATGAGGACACCCAATCCCACGGAACATCATTCTAATACCGAAGCACTCGGCCGCAGCTCAAAAAGTGTCACCCTCAAAATGACCAAGTAGCTCGCGATTCCCACTTCATAGAGACACAGAGTTGCGATGTTCGCGCCTCGCTTCCGTGGCAGCTGACTGATTCACGTCGAAATCATACGCCCGCCAGGGCATGCGACATATCGAGAACTTACCGCTTTCGCAGGACAAACAGCCAAGCAGCCAGGGAGAAAGGCCGGATTCCAAAACAAGTTGTGTGATCCTCGAGCATTACGCTGAGCGGTGAAACGCCCATTCGGCGGCTCTCACATTGCGGAAGCAATAGTGGCAGGATTTCCCGCACTTCGTAGCTTTGGTCCTCCGTACCTAGGTTGCCACCACTCGCAAGCTGATGGGCTCACATTCGGAACGAAATTGAATGATCAGCGCCCCTCGCCAGCAGCGAAGCCGCTATGTAGCCCAGCACGATTTCCCCGCGCGCGGTCGATCTCATTTCAACGGCCAGCGAGTACGAGAGTGACGACGAAAATCGATGAACAGCCAACCACAGTATCTGGGGAATCGGGCTGCATCGATCGATCGAACGAGAGTATTTCCGCGGCAGAGATGGCCTGGTACTGTCCGCCAAAAGAAAAAAATATCACCGCGTTTGCAGCCGACAGGGATCCAAAAGTTGGCGACAAGAGTACGCACCTGGGACTCGCGGAGAATGTGCTAGCGACGCGACTCACGTTTGAAGGTTCACATGGATTTTGCTTCTCGTGGGTCACGATTGAGCAGGAAATCTATCAGATGTAGAGGTTTACAAACAACGATGATGATGGCGATGACGATGACGAAAGATTTCGACGACACCGAGGAAGAGTTGAGATCTGGAGGGCGCGAGAGCATGTTGAGGAGCAGGGGAATTGTGACATTCAGCCGATTGACAGTTCGAGGTGAGTCTGCTCTGCGAAGCTGGAGGATACTCCTCGGAGATACCAGCACATTGTCAAAAGACGCGATACTTGTAATATTGAGTAAATCCTCGAGGGGGGAAGTCTTTGAACATGCTGAAATATGAGTAGTCGTGAACACCGTCCAGACAAATTCACAAGGTGAGGAGTTCCAGTACTCTGGATCTGCGGGACGGTACTCCGTTCACCGCAATCGAATCTGTCCTGTGATTTAAAGCAGGATCGGGATGACTGCATGTGATGTGCAAGTGGACTGCGTTTTCAGAAACGAGGGAAAAATACAATGATCGAGCTCTTCAGCATACCTTCATCAGATAGCTGTTTACCAAGATAGGTATGCGTAAGAGATACATGATAATACTGTACCACATTCACGTATGACGTCGATCTACCCCAAGGAACTGTATTCAATCATCATCCATAGTATTTCGTACTCACATAATGTCACGGCTATCCCGATCCAGAACTTCGAACAGAGACCCATATTGCTCAGCTCACATCCACCTTCGCCAGTCCCTCCCTGTCACTCCCACTTTTAGTCCTCCTCAGCCTCGATCTCGCTAGTAAGGCATCGATCTCCAGAAGACGCGCCTCAATCGCCGCAAGTTTCTGCTCGTTTGTCAAGTCGGGGTGTTGCAATGCAGCATTGAAATCTGCATAAGACACTTGCGTGGAGAGATGTGCTGAGGTAGTTCCTCCTCTGATTCCTAGGCTGGACTTGTCATTGCCATTGGTGGTGGTGGCGCGGAAGGCGGGATGATTGGATGACGGACGGCTGCCTGGGCGGTGATGGCGAGTTGTCGAGAGCTGACTAGGGGCTCTGAGTTTTGGGATTGGATCTTCTGTGCTGTCGAGCTGTAGAGGAGAGATCGCTTGGTCAACTTCGTTGTGCTTGTCGCGAGGGCGAATCTTGATCTTGGGTGGCGGAGCGGACATAGAAGCAATGCTGCTTGGCAGGATTGCTGGTGTTGTAGCGTGTTTCTTAGAAAGGTGCCGCGGCTGATGGTCCTTGACAGCGCCCATACTCGAGATGTAAGACTGAGCAACTGAAGTATCGCATCTGATTTCATCAGCCGCTGGGATCGTGTTCTCAGGCAAACCGCATGACTTGCTGCACGACTTATCGTGTTTATCAAGACATACGATGCTAGTCTGGCGATTATCGCCAGCTTCCGCGTGAGCGTGAGTATCGTCAGGAACACCCGATGGTAGAGGGACATCATCTGAAGATCGCAAAGCTGCCATCTCTTCCACCAACAGTGTCCGGTACTGCTCGGCGAGGTGCTGAGTATTTCGACTGCCATGGTATAGTTCCGGGACGTGCGGCCATTGTGCTTCTACAGAATTTGGACGACCAAGGACAGGACTCTTCACTTCATCGGTGTAACTGCTTGTTCGGTCCATCGTTGTTGTCAGATCTGCGAGATCGGGCATGTGGGATAGCCGCTCCAGATGGGTAGTAGGACTGGCGATTTTGTCGTTAGAGGACGACTTTGAGATTGCAGGATTCGCACTGCCTGAATCGTGCGAGGACGAGCAGAGCGATGGGGTGCAACTGGTCTGATGAGGCCATGCGGGAGTCGTAATCGTCTGCAGAGAAGCCTGGATGCTTCCTTTCCATTCATTCGTATCGTCCAAAACTTTCGTGGAAGCTTCGAACTCGAGCCCGGGCCTCCATTGCCGAAATGGAGATACCGCGAAGGCAGAGATGTCGACTGGAATTGGTTGCATGTCGAGCTCTTCTCTCGGTGGAAGCACGTTGTTGGGGACAGAAGCCATTTGAGACTCGGTCGAATCACATACTTTCAAAAGAACGTTCTTGTCTCCGAGAGATGTTGTCTGCTGTTGTTGGTCGACAGCAGCGTTTTTGCTGATGCCCGAGCCTTTGTTGGGCTTTCGATCCATATCGGACTTGGAGTCCGAGGACGACTTTTCATGTCTATGATTGTGCTTGGAAGCCTCACCGTTGACAATTGTAGCATGTGAATTGGATTGTGGCGATTGAATCAAGACGGCTTCCCTTTTCGTTCGATCGATGGTCTTGACAGGTCTTCCAATGGATTGATAGCGCACGCTTGGCGAGCGATGCAGTGTCGTCGGCGCGCTACTCATGAGCTCAGTGACCCGTCTTCGCTGACTGGGACATTCAGGCAAAGGCTTTTCTAACCACGATGGTTGGGTCGATGCTGTCGATTGCGGCATAAACAATTCGAATTGCTTAAGGTTGCTTGTGGGCACATGAGTGCGGCGTTTCACCATTAAAGCATGTCGATCCGTTCTCTTGAGGACTGAAAGCGCCATTTTCGGTTTGTAAGAATCTCTTCAGAAGATCATGTATTTTCGAATCGTTACGGCTACCATCTGTCAACGCGGTGGGAAAATCTCGGCTTATACTAAAAGCACTGCCAGCAAAGGGATGGTCAAATGACGTTTGACGCGGTTTCGGAGTGGCATTAATGAGCACAATTTGAAGCTGCAACATGCATTCCGGCTTCACTGCTTGGACTTTACATTCCTGCATTGCTGCGATCAGCACACGCGGGACTTAGGTTGGTTTCCATTTCAAATGCGCCTGAGGGCCTAGGATCGCAGAGACTCGGAATAGAAAGGTAATGCGCTTGAACTTAATATAAACCCAGGCATCACAACACGTCAGGTCAGGTGAATGCTGCTGTCATATGCGCACGCATGAACTAATTATCTGCAAGCGCTCCAGATTGCTCGAGTTCTTCAGGACGCGGTGTTTGTGGAATATCGACGAGCACAGCAGGATTGTCCTTTCGTTCCGAGATGAGTCGCTCACGGTTCTATCCGATTACTGTCAGTTTTGCTCCATTCAAGAGTCGATCTCTCTTCGCCGTCCGTGGCTCACCTCAACCTCGGTCGATTTCGCAATCTTATCAGCTTCTATGGCGTCCAAGGCCATGGCTTTTGAGCCTCTGCGCGCAGCACGAACTTGGTCAACGGAAGCTGGGGTGCTGTCGAGCTCCACTGGTATGGCATTGATTGCAGCGCTGGATATGACGAATGCCGGCCTTGTGGTGCCAACTGGCGAAACCAAATCTTGAGCTGAAGATCCGGAGGTCATGTTGCAATATAAAGCTGTTCGATGACACTGCGGTTTGTGAAGGTAATGCAATCGTGACCAGGCTGGTGTATTAATATTGACAGTCGAAGGCAACCTTGGAAGGCAATTGTAGCTTACGACGGCGCGTTAAAAATACACAGTAGTGTTGGGGACAAGTCTTCAGTCCACGCCGCATGATCGTCAGGTGGCATGTCCATGGAACACTCCCCTCGTCGATCGCATCACATGCCAGGTCTACCTCATGCAGGGTACGCGGCGGCGGCTGGCTGCAGTCGACAGAACCGAGGGTTCACTACAGTTCACCAGAGAACGACTCGTTGCTACAGATGCATACACAATACACTTTACATACATGAATCTCGTGTCATACATAACAAAAATACACGCTGCTGTACTAATTTCATAAATTGAGTATCTTTCCTTACTCGATGCAAGGGAAGCTGATGATTGAAGCTTCACCACGGGACCGCTCGAAGAGCTTCAGCAAGCTGCTACACATGCTGTGAGACATCGCATTGATGCTAATTATAGGACGATGATCTTTGCGCTCACACTTCACGATGAATGATACAGACTCGATGGAACAGCAGAAGAATAGTAATGGTATCATAATATGATTGGAGATGCTGAGTTCAAGACCACGTGAGCGGGGTATCATCTATCAATAATAAGTCGACAGGACGTCGTGAACGTCTCCTATAATACAGATTTTCAAGGATTGCGTCCGTCATTCATTTTCCTGCTTGGAAACGACCAGTTTGGTAGCACCCTGTTCCTCAGCTTCACTCTGCTCTGCGGGAGGAGCCTTGGTGGCAGTGTCCTTCGGAGCTGCAATTTTCGTCACCGCCACGGGTTCGCTCGGCTCGACCTTCTTTTTGATCGGCGTGATGGGTGGCTCAGGCGGCGGGGCCTTGCCAAGATCATTGGTCTCCTCCATAATGGCAGTGTCCTCGACTGTTCTGCTGCCCCAGGAAAGAGGATTCCACCATCTTGATGATTTGGCTTCTTTCGCGGCGTGAATTCGTCGCCCAAGGTCTTTCAGCGTCTCCAGATCTGGGTCCACTTCACTCCGGAGCATTTCAACTTCTGCCTCGAGCTTCTCCAATCTCTCTGCCACGTCGTCCCGCCGGGCGGATTCCTTCTTCCGACTTCGCCAAGCATCCCAGATCAACAATCCAGCAGCAACGCCAAAGATGAAGGCCTCCGAAAAGAAATTGGCGCCCAATTCTATCGCACGCGTCTCTGAAAGAGGTCTGATCTTCACTTTCTGAACCTTGGAACTTTCTTCCTTTTTGGGTCCTTCCCGCTCGAGTCGTTCCTGCTCCTCGTCGTATTTCTTTTGTTCGGCTTCCGTTCGTACAATAGGCGTCTCAGCTTTGCGTTTCTTCTCCCCTGCGGCCTTCTGCTCTCGTTCATGCATGCGCTCCTGCGCTGCTGAGTCGTGGAGTATGCCGAGCCGCATTCGCATATCTATTCGATGTAGGCGTTGTGCCTGAGCGACTGCGAAATATCGGAAGCCGTCATGTTCTTTCGCCTGCCGTTTGATATAATTCTACAAATTTCACATCAGTCGGGTGGTATAGCCATTTATATAAATGGCTCTCAACATACTCCGATAGGCTTTGCGGCAGTACGAATAGCGAGTGAGAGTAATTTGAAAGTGAGCGACATGATTTGTAAAGAGGGTAGCCAGACCCTTTCTTCACCACTGGATGTTCATAATATGGTCTTTCGAAAGAGCCACAAACTCCGGTTCACTTGGCGGAGCTTCTATCGTATCACAAACAAGATACGTGACACGGTTGACGAGGTTATATGAGACGATGTGCAATCGACGGTCCAGTCAGCCTGGAAATGTCAACTAAGGCAGTGGAGTTGTCGCAATCAATCGAGAGGGTGGAGCGGGATTAGTCATCGCTCCGGATTCGCGGGTGGTTGTTGTGACGATTATTGTGCAGGCCCGCTGCAGCCGAGAGCCACAAATGCACTAACGCGTTTTGGGTTGTCTGCCCCAGCAACGATAAACAGTCGCAGGCCGAGACATCATTGACGGACTATTCGCCATACAAAGTCTTTAAATGTCAAGACAGGTCTTGTGCTAGGTGCAAGAATCGTCAATCGTGGGATCCGAATCATGGCGGCAGCTCCTCCTTTGCCTGCGGCTACTGCACCAGCACCATCTTCAGCGTCCTCGATTCATGCTGATCCTCCACCGCCGATCGTCACCGAGCCGAGCGGAATCAACTACGCGACCGGCCCAGCTTTAGGAAAAGGCGGCTTTGCCATATGTCACAGAGCCGAACGATACGATGGCAGCCGTCCTACGGGTCAAGTCGTCGCTCTCAAGATTGTCAAATCAATGGTCGAGCCTACAAAGATTGCTCAGAAGGTGTGTTTGTGCAAAAGCGCTGCGTGGCCGCATGCGAATGAGACTAACGAGCACAGTTTGTCACCGAGCTACAAATACACAGTAAATTATCCCACCCGAACATCGTTGGCTTCCACCGCGCCTTCTCCTTCCAAACGAGCACGTATGTGGTCTTGGAGCTATGTTCCAATGGCTCGCTGGCAGATATGCTGAGGAAGCGGAGATACCTGACTCTTCCGGAAATTCGACGTCTGGTCATTCAAGTCTGTGGAGCTGTCAAATACCTTCATCACAGACACATTGTCCATCGCGACCTCAAGACTGGCAATCTTTTCTTGGACAGCAACATGAACGTCAAAGTAGGCGACTTTGGCCTTGCAGCTTTGGTGGTGACTGAGCGGGAGATGGAGGTACGGAGAAGGACAACCATGTGTGGCACGCCGAACTATCTCGCGCCTGAAATCCTGGAAAAAGGGAAGGGACATGATGAAAAGGTGGACCTGTGGGCAATTGGCGTTATCGCATATACCCTTGCTGTCGGAAAAGCACCCTTCCACGCGTCGACCAAGGAAGAAATCTACAAAAAGTTGAGATCAGGAGAGTACACATGGCCGGAATTGAACTCGACTTCAAATCAAAGTGCCGATCTTCGCAACCTGGTCTCGAGTCTTCTGGTCCCAGAGGAGCTGCGCCCGTTGCCTGATCAGATTGTTTCGCATCCATTTTTCAAAATTGCACTCGTGCCGGCAAAAATCCCTTCCACAGCTCGAGAAAAGGCGCCAGTCTGGACCGATGCTGCCCTTCCTTCGGTGGAGACTTTACGACGGGGCTTCAGCGAGACATGGTATCATCTATGCAAGGAGTCCGGTGTTGGAGAGTACGAAGAGGGCAAATTCTTCCCTTTGAACGGCGGCCGCAAGGTGCGCAGTATTGTGCATGACATGGCCCGGGAGGTCCAGGCTGGACGGCAACCAACCATGCCCATTCCCAAGGATGTGGTCTACACATCGCTTCTAAGCGACTGGGATCAGATTCCTGTCGATGGAAACAAAGGTCTGCGGGAGATGTCTCACAACGAAGTTGCGACCACTCGTCATCATCTCGTCAACAGGGAGATGGTTCCGAAGAGCAATGAAGGCATGCTGCCGCCACCTGTACCACGCGTGGTCCCCAGAGCAGCACGCGCTGGTTCTGTACGAAAGGTCGCCAGAACTATCAGCGAGGAGACTGCCGCACAGAACTCCGCAACAATCAAGGTGGCCGCAGAAGCATCTTCATCCACGGATGCTTTGCAAATCACACGAACACGACCGACTATATCTTCCTCCTCGTCGCTCAGGCAGCTCCAGACTTCTACGGCTCCTCATCAAAACGCACAACCGCTACCTGCAATGCCTGAGCCTATCGTCGAGAAGCCTCAACGTGTAGCGAGCACCAAGCGCAGCGCAGATGCCAGCCTGGCACGACGACCTGGGACGACGCGCGCAATGAGGGAACAACAGGCAGCGGCGATTAAGCCAGTGCCATCATCTACAAGCATCACAGCTCCTCGGAGGACAGCACGTGAGCGGCCACTGTCGCCTATTGAAATGGCAGAACCTCTGGCAACACTCGACGAACTAGCCAAGGTTTCTCCATTCAAATACAAGCGAAAGGCGCAAGCTGCAAAAGAAGTCGTCGAGATCCTCTCCGACCCAGACAGCGAGGACAACAAACAGAAGCCCGCGCCTCCAATCATGGCCAAATCCATCCCAAGCCACCAGCGGAAATGCTCTCAGCTCGCTAAGAGCAGCGATCTTGCTGCCTTGCCAAACACTGACCCAAGCACTGTGCTCCGTCGCCTCGCTGCCTTCCGCGACAATCTTGCTGCTGAGCTTTCCAAATCTTCCGCTCGCTCCGCCGTCACTACTGAGCGCTGTCTTCCAGTCGACACCGACCTACCATTCGTCTCACGCTGGGTCGACTATAGCCGCAAGCACGGCGTCGGCTATGTTCTCTCCGACGGAACCGTGGGCTGCATCATCAACGCAACTGCGAAGCCAGGTCATGCTGCCACACCTGTCACACACGTTCTCGTCCGCAACGGCCAAAAGTGGCTCCAAAAGCTCGGCGCGAAATCCGGCTCGATTGCCAGTAATGGCAGCAGCAGTTTCCCAGGAATCGACAGCGTTCCGCTCGAGATTTTTGAGGACCACAGCGCTCTGCCGAGCACCGGCGGCATTTTCCGCAAAATCTACAAAGGCCTCGGCAGCGTGCAGCCCGGCCATCCTCTTGCCGTCGACGCCGAGCGACGCCGCACTCTGAGTGTCCTCTGGGTGAAGTTCGGCCGGTACATGTGTCAATCACTCGATGGTTCAGGCGAGACAGCAACGACCGACAAAAAGCCATCAACTGCCGCATCGCAAAAATCCGAAGAAACGTTCGTGCGCTTCTATCAGCGCATCTCCAGCATCGGCCTGTGGGCATTCTCCGACGGATGTTTACAGGTCCATTTCCCGGACCACACTAAACTTGTGCTTTCCGCCGACGGACGCGTGGTCTCGGCAACGCTGCTCGGTGTCGAAGCCACGGCACACTTGGCGCAGTTCGGCGAGTTGTTGCCACAACATGTCACGGGTCGGGAGGTCCACGCTGGCGGAATTCGAGACTTACTAACGACGGATGTGCATGGCGCGGGCGGCAGGGCCAAGGCCAGGGTCGTGCGGGTCAACCAGTTGAGGGAGAAGCTGGCATTTGTGGGCGAGGTGGTGTCGCAATGGGTTGCGAATGGAGGATTGGGAAGGTTATCTGATGACAATGGTTCAGAGGAAGATGTTGCGGATGGGAAGTTGATCTGGGATGGATTGGCTGTGAAGACGCCAGCTAGAGCGGCGGTGGACCGCGTCACGGTGGGGAGGATTGGCGGTGATTTATGATCACCTGTCGTGTTGAATATTCGCTCGTGCCGCTGTTGGGCCTGGGATGTTTCTTGGATAACGAAAGACACGTTGGCGTTGTTTGATGGTTGGGTTTCTTGGCGATGCTCCTTTCTTGCATTGAGCTGGCGTTTTTTCCGGGATATGTTTCCTTCTTCATCTTTTACTACGCTCTTCCAGACTACTTCCGTCTCTGCTCGGCATACTCATGATAATGTTGACGTACAGTCAAGAACCTGCAATTGAATTACTTCGGTTTCCGAATCTCTGTTTCGATTTAACATGGCGAACAACATGCCAGACTCGTGAAACTTTGCACAACCTCACGCCGAGGCGCCAATTGAGAAGTGCGCATTGGGGCCTCAAGATTCATTGCAAATGTTGCCATTCATGTTACAATAATCCCAAGACTAATCTATCGCAATCGCCCGCTTCCTGGGTTCCAAGACTTCAAAGATTCCCCTCGACCAAAACGCCCAACGGTCATGATTGCTTTTTTGAATTTTTAATAATGACAGTGTCAATACAGGACACGAAAAAGAATACAGAGGAATGGGAAAGGGGAGAATTCTATAGGACTGGTCCAACCTGTGACCATCAAGTTCATTTCTTTTCCTCGTCTGCCTGCTTGGCTTGCAGCTTCTGCTGCTGTGCAAGGTCTCCTTCGCTTTCGAGGATATCCTGCGCAGCCGCCTTGCTAAGAGCAGACTCTTGCCTCGCCTCCTCTTCCTTCTCGTCAATGTCTTCCTTGTCGCTCACACTTGTCACCGTGCCGCCACTGGCTTTCTGCTCCTCTGCTTGTTCATTTTCTTCTTGGATGAGCTCTTGCTGCTCCTTCAGGACCTGCAGACGCTGCTTGTTCGTGACTGCACCCTCAGCGTTGTGCACCTCCAACTCAATCTCGTGGAAGAGCTCCTCGGGAATCGAGCTCAACACGGCCTGCAATGCAGACAATTGGCTGTCAAACTCGACTTCCTTGCCTTGAGCGTACATGAATGCATTGCTCAGGACAAGCAGTGTGCTGGGGACTCCATACTTGAGACGCAAATCAAGCCACAGCTGCAAATCATCCCGCAGTCTGCCGGGACTCATGCCGTGTGTACGAAGACCACGTGCAGCGCAGGCGGTCTGAAGCTCAGGTACAGACAGAGACTCCACACCCTCGAAGCTGATAGCTCGATCGTCTCGCTTGATTTGTCGCATACGATGACGGACCTGGTAACGAAGCATGGGATCGGTACCGAATGTGTTCAACGCCATATACCGGCAGATGCCAACCAATTGTGGGCGGGACAGATTGTCGAGGGTAAGATCGTCCTTGAAGAGCTTGCAGACCTTGATGACGTCGGCTTTGGTGGGCTCCTCGCCAGTGGCACGCAATTTCCGGAAGAACTCTGTGAACTCCTCTTTCTGCGCATGGATTGGGCTAATAGGTAGACCAGATTCGCGCAGGGTCGAACGCAAAAGTTGAGAAACTTCTTTGCGGGAGGTTCTTAGCCTCATAGCCTTGGATTCCTTACTCGCGGCGTTCTCGTATGTCGACGGCAACATGTTGGGGAACAGTCGCAGAGCAACCGGCAGAAGTAGTTCGGCAAATGGTACGATGACGAAGACCGAGAAGGGGACCAGGCGGCCGAGGTCCTGGACAGTCCTTTGTAGTTGACGGTGCTCACGTCGAGTGAGTTCGTACCCAGCGGCCATCTTCAGAGCAAGACGAGAGGAGATCCTAACCTCTGTGGCGAGAAGTTTTGTTCCATCCCAATAGTGCTGCGCTTCGTGCTTGACCTTTTGCCATAGCGTGAGTTTGTTCTTCTCCTCTTTCTTTACTAGATCTTTCTTGTCCTCAGCCGACTCTTGTGCATGTTGGGCTGCAATCTCGTTGAGCGCGGCCTGCTCGGATGCTGAAGTCGGCGCATGCTCTGTCGGTTGTGCTACAGGGATACTGATATTGTGGTCAGGCTTGCCATCAGCCTTGACGGCGGGTTTTGATTGTTCGGAGCTGTTGGCCAGAGGCTTTCGGGCCTCGCTGATGTTGAATCCAGGTGGAGGTGCACTACCGTTCTGTTCGCTCGTTGTCTCTGTCGACGCAGCTCGATGTGGGATGAGGATGGCGACGGCAGGCAAATGACGAGGAAGACGTGCGCTGCGCTGAAATGCTGCACGAGTTCCGTTGCGCATCAACAGGGGCGCGAGGTGCCGCGAAGCATACTGGCTTGACAGCATGCTGAGCGATGATGTGATCGGTAGTATTGAAAGAATAGCGCTGTTTCGTGTAGAAGGGAGGTCGAATCGTGTGATGATGTTGGGTCGAGGGGGAGGGTAAAGCGCATAAAGTTGTTGAGTGATGTGAGATTTGAGCAAGGTTGTTCCTGATGATGTCTCATGGGTTTCACCTCGGACTAAGTGCTATGATGTGCTTCACAGTACCTTGAATCATGGTTCAGGGTCAGGGAATGGATGGTTCACGTTTATCTGTTATTTAGCCCTCTTCCAGCTGTGCCGCTACCCAGATCCCGCAGACCTCCGTTGAGGCGATGAGATATTCACTCACAGGACAAATGTATGACGCACGGGCCGAAGCGCATGTGCCGAGTGACATTTTCTGGACACAACACAGACACAACCTTGGAAAGTATCGATTGTTACGTGTCACACTATTGATGGCATCCAGCTCAAGATGATTACCAGAGACTGCGTACTATGAATCTCCATTCACCATCATCTGTTAACTACTTCTAACCAACGTTACATTTTTACGCGGCGTTGACGTTTTTACTCCGGAAGCTGGCAGACGTGGGCGTCGATCATACCGTTCAACACATTGTCAGCGTAATGGCTCCAAGCTTCGCACCGAAGAACTTGCAACATAATGAAATCTTGCTCGCAAATGATAATCTTCTGTACAATGCCCACGTGCAAAGTATACACATGTGTAAACAGAGCGGTAATAAACCCACCAACTTCGTACACATGAGCCTTAGAAAGCAACCCTAAGCCCTGAGAGCCAACAGCCATTCACAATTGTCTTGGCTCCTCCGAACTCTCCGCCGACGACCGACGACGACGACTACAGTATTGACTTACTGAACTAACGACCCGCGAATGTAGGACGTAGACAGCAGAGCGTGACGGCATCCCTAGGGCAGACCCCAAAATCTCAGATAAAATCTCAGATACGCCGGCCGTAATGCTCACCAAATACATCACCGCCGTGAAGACGAGCTTCTCGCCCTTCAACCCGCGATCCGGCAAGACAGTGCGGAGTTTTCTCGCCTTGCTCCCTTCAAATGCACGCTCGACCATGGCGATTGATGTGAAGATGTTCGGAAAGGCACAGGCAGAGGCGCCAGCGACGCTCGCGATTTCATTCAGTAGGATCTCTCTTTTCCAAATTCGGAAAACGATTCCGGCTTCGATACATTTCGAGTTGCAATCATCATGTGTACTAACGAGGGTAATGTCGCAACAGAAGACGGAAAGGAGATGAAGATCGATTTGGAGAAGATGAAGATTAAGGATATCCAGCAAGAGGTCGATCGACACGCACGAGGTCTACGGAGAGTTGAGGAACTATCAGGGAACTAGTCGTACTGGAAGATTATTGAACGAAACAATTATAGGAGGATGGGTTGCGATACAGCACGGATCGAGCTGGCTGAGGCATGAACGACCAATTCCAAGTCACACGAGAACAGAGTCGATCTGATCGCCTCATGGGTTGATGAAGGAGTTCTTTGCGACAACATTTTTCGCAGAGTTCCCGGGCGTGTTGCTGCTGGCCATGATGATGGCCGAAAGAGGCCAATCGAAGACCTGAGCAATCGTTGACAGAATGGTTGACGCGACGCCAGCTACAGGGGTCAATTTTGGACGGAACCGGCTTGGGTCCTTATGTATCAACACATCATGACACATTACTACAAGACCTTAGAGCGGAAACTGCCCATTTGTACAAGAAGTTCATCATATTCGTTAATTCGATACTGTCTCATCAATCATTCGCATCATCCTCATCCACGATCTCAATCTTGTCTTCGGCTTCGGGATGTATGAGCTCTCCCAGCTCCGCACTCGCAGCGATGATGGCACGCGCCTGCTGAGATCGATCGGAATCATTCTTGTCCAGGTTCATATCGTCGCTCACGAGCAGCTCTGCGAGATGCGGTACTAGTACAGCCTGCACGAAGCCTGACACACCACCTTGCGCGCCGGAGGTTGCTACGAGATCGTCATGGGCTGCCCGTGAGCGGATCTCGTTCGATAGACTGCTCAGGATGAAGTCGGTCCTGTTCGAGATTAGGATGTCTCTGGAAAGATCGGACCAGGATAAGACTCACATTGCTTTCTCGCCACGAGGACCATAGTAACCCACGGATGCCCCTGGTTTCCCAGAATTGAAGGTCTGTTTGATGCCCTTCGCTCCAGGCTTGAGCCGCGCCTTGAGCTCGTTCCGGTAGAATGAAGGTGTGCCACTAGTGTTGTTGAGTATGTTGCGTAAGGTAGTGTTGTGCTTGCGCATTCTCGTGTCCAGCCGTCCCCAATCGATGTCAGGATAATCCCTACTAAGCCACGTAGCTTTTGCCGAATGCACTCCGTGGAAATGGCAGAAGCGTTTTTGCCATTGAAAGTTCAACCGTTGTCCTCGTAATTGGTCTCGATGCTCATCTTCAAACTCTTCGCGGAGCAGTGAGTCGACTGGCTGACCGCACATTGCGCACTCAGCATCTTCGCTATCTTGCAATCCACCATCTTCGTCATCCTCGTCCGAAATGACCTCCGAAGGCTCACGTCGCTCCCGTGTGCTATCGACTTGATTTGACTTGTCCGCCGCGTCCGACCTGTCTCTCAATCTGGACGACAGTCCCCGAAATGCCGGTTTCTTCGTAGTTGAAGCATCGGCGTCCTTCTTTTTGCCGGCCAAATTTGCAAACTTCTTTCCCTTCCCCGTTTTCTTCGGCACAACTATGCTTCGCGTGTACTTTTGGGGCACGAAACCTGACTTGGCGTTTGGTGGTGCAAGATGATTGGTGAAGGTGCCCTCCTGTCTTCGACGCTTAGGCGAACCCTGTGAACTACGAAAGATCTCGTCGTCGTCGTCATCGTCGTCCAGTGTAGAGCCTGGACTTGTGCGTTTGCTGGCTGTGCTCTCTGGGCTACTGCGCACGCCTAGTCGTCGGAAGCCTGCAGCCCGCGACGTAGATCGAGTCGTAGCCGTGTGCGCAAGTCTCTTAAATTGACACGCCGGTTTCTCGATCGCAAGCTCGTCACCGCTGCTTTCTGGCTCGCGATCGAAATCTCCATCGTCGCCGGGCGCAGACTTCAGATCACCGCCGGAATCCGCATCTTCCGCCACATGATCTTTTGCGGTCGCATGAGGCTTACCCCCGACTGTTAGCAGGAGCTTACTGTGCGCTTGCGACCGGCGCATTCTTATGGAACGGGAGTTTTCCAAATGTCCACGATGCACATTCGCAGCGCATTGGCAAGCGAACGCGCATCGATCGCGTGCCAAACGCGCACCCAACGCGAGACCCCGTGATCAGGACATTTCATGTTGTCGCCAGGCTGAGCTGAATTTACCGACACAGATCCACAACTGATGACATTCATAATTTGACTCGGCAAAAAACGAATACACCGAGGCTCTCTTGGAACAGAATCACAATTTGTATTTCATTCGCTCTAGCGACTCAGGGCGATCGCAAGTTTGTAGAAGCTCTGAAGCAATAGATTCCCATCATCGCTACGACTCGGTGGTGCATCAGATCCGAAGCCTCGCTGTGACCGTGGTCGTTCAATTCCCGTGATTCATCCTTCATCGCGTCATTCTTATCCTTTACTTCTGGTCCGGGGGAGACGCATCAAATGCCCAAATGAAAGCTTCGCCGGGGCAGTGGTGCAGGCGCCTGTCATTACTCACATCGAGCGACGATTCGACCATAAACGCTTCCATCAAAATGATCAACGGTTTGCAGTAAACTTCTTTGCTGCAATCATAGCCGACTGAATGTCGAGTGGCTTTCGTGTCACTTCGCTCGCGCGATCGATTCTGCAGCTTCGGTCACCTCGCACTGGCGCTGGAGACCATCAGACTGCGGAGGCGGTGATTCAACATGCATGTGCTGACCGATTGGCCAGCATCACGGCATTCGATCTATTGAGAGCGATCATTCAATAGGCTCCGTGATCGGGCCAAGCTTTATTCGGCCCCTTTCCATTTCGAGCCACATATCTCGAGATTAGCTGTTCACCGAGGATGACGATGCCTCAGCAAGAAGAGGGAGTTTTTATTGCTGGACGACTTGGATGTTGTTCTTCTTCTATATACTGTATTAGCAAATGCACATCCAAAAAGCCCGGCATCAACTTACCTTCCACTTTTCCATCTCCGTCTGCTTGGTCTGATACTGCTTGAGTAGGTCCTCGAGGACTTTCTTCAACCCATCGGCGTTCGTCTGAAGCGCAGGGAGTACATCACTAACGGTTCGTTCTACTAGAACGCCATTGACCATGCGGAAACACTTGCGATCATCGGGCAGGGGCTTTAATGTTTCGAGGACCAGGCTGTAGTGAATCGTCAGCAAAGATCCCCCTTTGGTTCAAGAAGATACAACATTGCTGTACTCACGAATGCTCTTCTAATCCCTGCTCACAATCGCCAATTTTTTGGGCGATGCCTTGTAGGGTCTCTTTGAAATTTGAATATTGAACCTGGAGTTCTTTGGCACACAAAATCAGCTGCAGTGTTGAGACCACTCCTTCGATGATCGAACAAACCTTGTTGATTTTTCGCGGACATTTGCTGCTGAGACATCTTGCCAGATCACGACCAAAGTGATCAATGCCAGTAGTATCGACCAAAAGGATTAATTCTGAGCGAGGGCGGATCGACGTTTCCGATACAGGCAGTTACTGCTCGAGTTTGGCGGGGAGAAATGCTGTTAGTCAGCAACTTTTGATCTCCAGGGCTTCCTTCTATCTCCACGTGATCTCATGGACATTTCGAGATCCAGATCGTCGAGCTTCCAGACCCTCGTTCATGACATCGTGAATCCTTGCGCCTTTCTATATTTCCTCGCATTCGCACCTACCAATCGCATCGCATAAACCATCATGCATCCCCACTTACACCGTGAAGACAATAAGGGTAAGAGTCTCGACACATGCAAAATTCACTCAGCAATCGACTGATGGTGCAACACACACAGGTTGCGAAGAGATCATGAACGCGCTCGAAGAATGCCACGCCAAAGGCTTCCTATGGAAGTCCGTCGGCATGTGCAACGACGTCAAGACGCAGGTGAACAAATGTCTACGTGCGGAACGTCTGGACCGTACGGCCAAAAACCGCGAAATCGCCAAGGCGAAGCGCCAGCATATGGAGAAGGTCTGGGCTGAGATTGATGCAAATTCATGAAAGGAGCAAGGAAGAAAAGGCATTTTATGGAGTTCGCAGGTCGATGGGCGCTTGTCGGGACAGGAGGAAGGGTGGCGGACTGTAGGATCTCCTTGGGGGGCGGGCTGTGATAGGCTTCCTGGACTACGGACGATTCAACATTCGATTGCACAATGGGGTGGGCGCATTGATCTCGCCTCACTGGAACTCGAAGATTCGGGTATATGATTGGACAGTCCGCGTCGACAATGGTCAGCGGACAAGCTCGCAAGAACCAGCACGGAAACGATAAGTTCACATGCTAACGATCTTCTGGAGATGGGTGGCGAAGCGAATGTGCCATTGGTCTGGTCGACTATGCTATGATGCATTGATTCATGTACAACAGCTGCAGTTGATCGCAGTGCAAAGTTATTTCATGATGTATGATTTTTTTCCAAGGGAATGCGAGATACAAAGGATGTGTTATTAATTGAATTTGTATCAAAATCAACACTCAAGTCCTGATATAACCGTACAAAAATCGCGAGTCTGTATATGGGAGTGGACGATCAAGTGATATTGCCAGTGGAGAAGAGACATGGAAGTGGCAATGCAATCAAGGGCGGAAGATCGTGTGAGTCTTTTTTAACGCTTATAATTCATCTAATAGTTCCATCTTGCTCACACGCACGCACATACGCAACCATAAGTAAATTAACGCCAGGGCGACCTATACAATGCCCGTTCCATCCGTCTCCAAATTCTTCTCCAGTGATCAGGCTCCAACGAGAGTGATCTGTTAGAGCCCGAGCTGGTCCGGATAAGTGGATCACGAATTTGCTTTACAAAGGCTTGCCGCCGATGAACTCGCTCCATCGGCGCACCTCGGCCGGGATACCCTCTTTCTTTGGAAGCTTCTCGCTCATGCACTGAGCGAACAGCACAGCAGTCTAAAAGAGAAATTCGAGTCAGTTTGTTGTTCACTCAATAGAAATACAGAGAGAAGGCTTGGTGAGAACTTACCCTAGGCTCCATGAAAAGTGGGACACCAAAGTCGACGGCGTTTCTGCGCATGACGTAGTCCTCATCGACCATTGAGCTGGCCCTTCTCTTAGCCAGGTTGAAGACACCGCGGATGTTGTACTTCTCGAACACTTCGCGGAGCAGTCGCTTGTCCTGCTTGGGGAATTCAATGACCTCGACTGAGACGCCCTGGGCAGTAGAGGCGCTCTCGAGGTGTTGCTTGACGATTTCGTTGGCAGCGTACAGCTTGAAGCCCAGCGGTTGCAGGAAGTCGACGATCTTGGCAAGGTCAGGGGTCTCGACGTCACCTCCAAAGAGGAGGCCTTCGCCAGGAACGGGCAAGCGGAAGTTCATGGTGCTCTGCATCGCGGTCCAGTAGGCCTCGACGAGGTCCTTTCCGAAACAAGCCATTTCTCCAGTACTGGCCATCTCGACGCCGAGGTAAGGGTCAGCACCAGCGAGACGAGTCCATGAGAATTGCGGAACCTTGACGGCAAGGTAGTCTCGCTTCTCGGTCATGAGATCAACGGGTTCAGGGACATCCTTGTCAAGCAGAGCGCGAGTGGCCACATCGATGAAGTTGGTACCCAAAACTTTGCTGACGAAGGGGAAGGATCGGGAGGCGCGGAGGTTACATTCGATGACCTTGAGCTGATCCTCGCCGCCTTCAGGGTCAGTAGCGGAGATGATCTGCATGTTGAAGGGACCAGTGATTGACCAAGCTTTGGCGACCTTCTGGGCGATTTCCTTGACGCGGTCGATTGTGCTCTGGGGGAGGCTCGTGGGCGGGAGGACGAGAGAGGCATCACCGGAGTGGACACCAGCATTTTCGATGTGTTCGCTGACGGCGTGGACGAGGAGCTTTCCACCAGAGGCAACGGCATCAACGTCGATTTCCTTGGCCCCTTCAATGAATTTAGTGATGACGACAGGGTGATCGGGGCTGACACTGCTAGCAGCGACAAGCTTCTCCTCGAGCTCGTCCTCACTTCGAATGACCGTCATGGCGGCACCAGAAAGCACGTAGCTGGGACGGACGAGCACAGGGTAGCCGACCTCATTGGCGAAAGCTTGGGCATCCTTGTAGCTTGTGAGCTCCTTCCACGCTGGCTGGTCCACACCGATGGAGTCGAGGATCTGAGAGAACTTGTGACGGTCCTCGGCCTTGTCGATATCCTTAGGATCGGTACCGAGTACCTTCGCTTTACCGCTTTCTTGCAATTTGAGTGCGATGTTTTGCGGCAGCTGACCACCAACAGATACGACCACACCAGATGCAGATTCCAGCTCGTAAATATCCATGACACGCTCGTAGCTCAGCTCGTCAAAGTACAGCTTGTCAGCCATATCGAAGTCGGTGGACATCGTCTCCGGGTTGTTGTTGATGACCACAGTCTTCTTGCCTTGGCTCCTCAATGCGGTCGAAGTGGACACACTGCACCAATCGAACTCGACGGAGCTACCAATTCGGTAAACACCAGAGCCGAGCACAAGGATTCCGTGGTCGTCAAAAGTGACATCGTGACTTGACGCATTGTATGTTGTGTAGAGGTAGTTGGTGTCTGCAGGGAATTCTGCGGCGAGTGTGTCGATCTTCTTGACCCAAGGCTTGATGCCAAAGTTCTTTCGGCGAGCGCGAACCTCATCTTCAGTGCTGTTGACCGCAAGCGCAATCTGCTTGTCGCTGAATCCGAGTTTCTTCGCCTTCATCATCAGCTCCTTCTTCACACCAAACAGCGAGCCGATATCCTGAAGCTCATGTGTGCAGTCGACAATGTTCTGAATCTTGTAAAGGAACCACTTGTCAATCTTGCTCAGCTCGTGAACGCGATCAACGGTGTATCCTTCGTGAAGCATGGCCTGGCCGACAGCCAGCCATCGGCGGTCAGTAGGGTTCTTGAGCACTTCATCGAGATCCTCAAACTTGTCACCCTGCAGGCCGACGAATTTGGGGTCAACCTGGCGGATAGCTTTTTGAAAACTTTCCTCGAAAGTTCGTCCGATGGCCATGACTTCTCCGACTGACTTCATGCTGGATCCGATCGAGCGGTTGACATTCTGGAATTTTGACAAGTCCCATCGAGGGATTTTGGTGACGATGTAATCGAGAGACGGCTCGAAGTTAGCAGTTGTAGTGCGAGTGACAGCATTGGGCAGCTCTGGAAGTGTGTGGCCGAGACCGATCTTCGCAGCGGTGTACGCAAGAGGATAACCAGTAGCTTTTGAAGCCAAAGCAGAAGAACGGGACAACCGAGCGTTGACCTCAATGACTCTGTAGTCGAGTCCGTCAGGCTGTAGAGCGTACTGCACGTTACATTCTCCGACAACACCAAGATGGCGAATAATCTTGATGGCCGCAGTTCGCAACATGTGGTATTCCTCATCACTAAAGGTCTGAGAGGGCGAAACGACGATACTGTCTCCGGTGTGGACTCCAAGTGGGTCGAAGTTCTCCATGTTGCAAACTGTGATACAGTTGTCCGAAGCGTCCCGGACGACCTCATATTCCGCCTCTTTCCAGCCCTTGAGGGACTTTTCGACTAAGATCTGAGGAGAAAGGGTGAGCGATCGCGCAGCAAGATCCCGAAGCTCCTCGGGATTATCTGCGAAGCCGGATCCGAGACCACCGAGAGCAAAGGCAGCGCGAACAATGATTGGGTAACCAATCTTGTCGGCGGCCTTGAGAGCATCATCGAGGGTCTCTACAGCGATACTCTCTGCGATCGGAATGTTGATTTCTTGCAGAGCCTTGGCAAAGAGATCACGATCCTCACTGGTCTCGAGGGTCTTGATGCTGGTTCCAAGAACGCGAACGCCGTACTTTTTGAAGATTCCCATCTTCTCCATTTGCACACCCAAGTTCAGTGCGGTCTGGCCACCAAAGGACAAGAAGATACCATCGGGTCGCTCCCTCTCGATGACGTAAGTCACATATTCTGGGTTGACGGGCAGGTAGTAAACCTCATCGGCGAGGGCGTGTGAGGTTTGAATGGTAGCGATGTTGGGGTTGACCAAGACCGAAGCAATTCCAGCTTCTTTGAGAGCCTTGAGAGCTTGTGAACCCGAATAATCGAACTCACCGGCCTGGCCGATGGCAAGACCTCCAGAGCCGATCACGAGGACCTTCTTGACATCGATGAGATCTTGGGCACCAGCAATGACACCGCTCTCGAGGTATGCCTTGGCATTGGGAGCAACATCAGCCTTGCTGGTCGCCAACAAACCAGTTGTTCGGGAGAACTGTCGCAATTGCTTCGCTGGAGACCTGCTGGAGCGAGCGAATGTGTTGCAACGAGCGACGGCCGGGCTCTGGGAAAGAAAAGTGCGACGGGCTATGCGCGGCACGGCCAATCGAGTGTGTCGGGAGAGCTCTTGTTGCAGCTGGCGAGCAACACACGCGCCGAGAGCCATGGTTGCGAATGAAAGAGAGGAAGATGGAGTGAATCCCCGGCGCTCTTGGGAGGCCTTGAAATGGGAGAAGAAAAGCACAGTGGTACAGAAAGAAAAGGTCTCGGTCAGTCACAGTTGACTCACTTGACTGCCAAAATTCCGCGGCTCCAAAAACCCAATGCGAAAGAGTCTGGGGTGAGAATCATGGAGCTCGGCTTGTCTAGCGCTGCATCTGTGCGCGGGCCTTTCGTTGATAGCGATAAGCACACAAACCCTTCCTTGACCGCCGCCCGCCTTTTTTCTTAGGCACACAAATCGTTCACGGTGCACGCGACCAGTTGTCTGGCGTCGCTTGACAATTGATGAGGTTTTGTAACGAGAATCACGGAGGATGGTAGAAACAGGTTCCTATGGGAGAAAGATGATCGAACGGGATCGGGATCTGTCATGAAATACTGTCTATCTGCACTGCAGCATGCAGACATGCAGAGAATTGTCTCTTCCTTGTCGAATTTTCCTTCCATACTACAATACGCCATGGGCCAGACGGGCCAGATTTTTGATACATTCCAAGGTTGGGGAAAAAAAACTTTGAGCTTTGGCTGCAGACACTAGCTGCTTTTCCTCTTCCGCCATGTATGCTGTTTACACTTAGGCAGTCTGGTGATCGTGAATATGGCAGTCCATCATCACACCAGGAGCGAATATTCGCAGATACAACAATGGATGCACGACGCTATATTGTTACATACTCTAACGATACCACCACGATAGGGGAATAATTATATTCATGAATGTAGTATAGATAGTGATGCGCATTGGATAGACTGTATCGTGTCTCTCATCAAGTACGACCAAGCCTCAGTCAGACGTCATGCGCAGGACAAAAAAAATCGATATTGACCAGGGATGAACATGCGTACATCCCGGTGCCACGAATGCAGATGTGAGGTTCCAGAACACCCACCGCTAGCTCGCTGACGTATATTCCTCATCTCGGGAGTAGGACCAAAAATGCGATACTGTAATTGACAATGACATTGACTTATTGCAACGGCTTGAGGTCATTGTGAGTCGGCCTGCAAAAGATTTCTATCGGGGCTTCCACTGGCCCAATGGCGTCACAATCTGCAGCCGACCGCAGTGCCATGTGAAAGATAAAGCTAGACAGTGTACATGTGAGAGAAAAAGCAAAGTACCGTCAGAAATTTTCTGTACAGCAATTACAGGTATCCTTGTCAATCAATACATACCCATTGGATCAATTGACCGTATTCCTGGCATAGAATGACCACAAGGTGTTGTGCCTAAGACTTCGTGGTCCTCAAAAAGACCACTCAAACGTGCCGGGCAGCCGGACCGCGTATTAAATTGGTCGCCTTCACGTGCTTTCCAACCTTGGAATGTTTGCATCAATCACATCGACAACCCACTCAAAGGCGCATGACACGGTATAGCCGTGCCATTGTATGAGTACATTCATCATTTCCAAACTTGCGCCAGTACATCATGCGATATTATTGAAAGCCCGCTTCCTCTTACCCTTTGTCAAATCGTCCTCGTCTTCTCCATCAACTGTTGTATCGCCCACATAGCCATCCACCAATTCCCTGTCTCGTACTTCGCGACCCAAAATTTCCAAAGCCGCAAGGTTGAACCCGAGAATCCTGCTCTCCTCCGCTTGCCAGGTGTCGTACGCCGTCAAGATAGACGTCAATACTGTTTTCATCTGCTTCGACGCGACAATTTGCGTGGTGTGTGCTTGAAGTAAGAAATACGTCACGCGCCAGGCGAGTTGCGGCTGCATGCGATGTTGTATGAAGATACTCAAGAAGGTGAAGAGCACGGGAAGTGTGCTGAAAGGAACGACAAGTAAGGCGTCGTTGAGAGCAGGTGAAGGGATCTTTTGTAATGTTCGGAGAACATGTTGCTCGGCTGTGATGTTACCCATTGCCATGAAAATTGGATTGCGCTGGGGGACTGCAGTCTTGGGATTGCGTTGCCGGTCACGCTCGAAGGCGAGCATTAGCTCGTAGTCTTCAAGACCGACCTCGAGAGCCTCCATCAATTTCTCCCCGTGCGTCAAAGTCGCGATGGTCTGTTTGCTTGCGGCGGCGACTTCGTCATCTTGGTCTTCGCCGTCACGGAAATCATGATCCATCGTGTCTGCCAGAGTCGCTTCGTGTAATGCTTCCATCTCACGCTCGCGTTCTTCCTCGAGAAAGATCAGGTCATCGCCGATTTGCCACGACCTGATGCTTTTGTCATGTGAAGCCGTGACAATGGTCTCACCGGTGCGACTAATCGCCATCGCCCAGATCTCTCCGTGATGACTGTCGAGTCGTTGGATCTGCTCGAACTTGTCACCATCCCACGTTTTCACGACACCGTCCTTACTGGCACTGAAGATGATATGCTTCTCGTCGTGTTCCATCGGATGCGGGATAAATGCAACTTGCATGACGGAGTCCTGATGTGCAAAGAACGCTTTATGGCAATCACCAAAGTCGAGACCCCATATTCTGACATTCTTGTCTGCTGAACATGTAGCGATCAGCTTCGAATCAGAGCTGATACTCAAGTTTAGCACCGGCAATTTGTGCCCGTAGAGTGTGAGAAATAACTTGAGGCTGTCCGTGAAGAACACTTTGACGGTGTTGTCGAGCGTACTGGCGGCAATCAATCTTGAATCGGGTGAGAAGCATAGACTGAGGATATCGTCGGCAAGCTTCATTTGTCGTGTTTGGGTCAGCTTGAGTCGTTGTGTAGTTCTTCTCGTCCCGGGGACCTCTTCTTCGACAACGTCAAATTTCCAGAACTTGGCACTTTTGTCTGCTGACCCAGTAACGACAGATTTGCCGTCTGGGTGCACAGCCAACGTCCAGATAGCTCCTTCGTGTGCCTCGATCTTTTCAATCAGTGTGCTGGTGCTGATGTCGTATAGCTCGAGTTCACCCGACTTCGTTCCCAATAGAACGATCCGGTCACCAGGTAGGAAAGCCGAACAGAGTGCCTGACCACATTCGAGCGTGCGTAGACATGATTGCGTGCGAATATTCCAAATTTTCAGAGCGCCCGCCGAGGCACTTGCTAACATACGATCATCAGAGGAGAGGGCCAACGTGCGAATATCTGCGCGGTGCCCTGGTAGATCAACACCAAGCGTCCGAGTGTAATCCGGTGCATCTTTATGGCCAGCCTTCTGCTGCGTCGCATGATTCCCGATGCTGTACATTTCGAGCTGGTTGTTAGTGGTACCGGCAAGAATGTGAAGATTCTTGGACGCCTTCGGGCCGGTCGTCACCCATTGCACAGATCTGACTTTTCCGCTAGTCCGTAACATGACGAACGGTACAAAGACATCACCAACCTCAGGTGCCTCCTGCGTCTCTTCAGGCTCAGTTTGCACTGTCTCTCCAGCGGCGGCAGCCTTTTCACGTCTCCTTTTCCGCTTGCGAAGCATGTGTCGGTGCACCTCCTCGGCTGTCCTTATCCGCAGTATTTCCACCACTTTCTCTGATCCATGCACAGCAATATAGTCTTGCTTAGTATGAAATGAGACTCCTATCGTCCTGTCCTTTCCTTGCCGCTGTATGATGCCACGACTTTGCAACACGTCCTGCTTTTTGCCATCGCTGCCTTGACGACCGATTTCTGCAAGCGCATCGAGGTCGACATTCCAGATCTTAAGTTCGCCGTCATTACCTGCAGTGATACAACCGTCGCCATCGGCGCTCATCCCGAGGGCCCAACATTCTCCGCTGGTTTGTGCGACATGTGTCTCGATGCAGTGCGGCGTCACGAGGTCCCAAATTTTGACCAGCGCGTCTTTTGATGTAGACAACAGATAGTTCTCTTCGGGAGTCCCGTCAAGTGCGGCGTCAGCTCCATCTACCTGAAAATTGCGTGTGCGAAGAAACGACAGTCCTGTGATTTGATCCTTGTGCCCGCGCAATCTGAATTCTGCAGCCTCTGATAACAAGTTCCAGACGATGATGTTGGTATCTTTGCTTCCACTCGCAAGTCGAGTCCCGTTCTGATCGAATTGTAGATGAGTAATGCCGCTACGATGCCCATTGAAGCTCACGACAATCTGGCCGGATAGCGCATCCCATATTCGAATTGAGCCGTCATTGTGGCCAACTGCGAATAGATCTGGCTGGACGTTGCATTGTGATATACAAGTCACTTCACTTCTGTTGTCTTTATCGTGCCATCGAGATAGAAGCTCGCTCTTTTTAACATCCCAGCAAAATACTTCTTCATTGGCTCCGACGTAAACTTTGCCAGCGCCAGTGCCTCGACCTGAACCGTCGGGTGCCCAGACACAATTTGACGATGCCGTGCAGACGGTGCCAAATGTTTGAGAAACCTCGTATTTTCTACAATCGTCAGTATATACATGCAGCGGTCACCTGTGAAGCCTTACGTACCTGTAGGAGCGAACCATCGCGATAAATATTTCAGAAGATTCTGGCGCGCAACTTTTTTTATGCGCCTGCGATGATATCAAGGTCCAGCTGCCCTGTTAGGGCTCCTCCGCAGCTGTGCAGGACAAGCGCCCCCACAATCGCTTCGTCACTGCGCCTGGGCAGACACCAGAGCCGCAGTCCACATCACCCGCCGGAGCATGTGCGCGAAGGTAGCACTTGTATGGTCTATTGCTCGACAGTATAAGTTCAGCAACTCGAAACGTTGTACAGCTCGCCGAAGAGTTTGACAAGATCACTGGCACTCATTCGGGCGACGCATCAACTTGATATCGAAAATCACCCTCGTCGCCCTCTCCGGACAACCCCGCGAACATGTTGTTGCTCGATTATCAGAACGTGCTCATTGAGTCACTACTCAAGGACCGCTTCGCCGCAGAGTGAGCAACAACTGAGATCACAGAGATCGCACAGTCCACTGCGCAATGGTATCTGACTTCACTCTCCAGCGCGACTCCCACCTCAATCGACCAGCTCATCTCCGACTTCGACAATGTCACCTTCCACATCTCAACACCCACCAGCAAGACCCAAATCCTCATCTCCATCGCGATAAAATGCTGGCCCGAGCTTGTCAAATATGGCGCCGAAGCCGTCCTGCAACGCGAATACGGTCCGTACATCGTGGAGCCGGAGCAAGGATATGATTTCAGCGTGCAGGTCGACCTGGAGAACCTGCCAGCCGAGCAGGAAGAGAAGGACCAATTGGTCTCGCGAATCAGCCTATTGAAGCGCCACGCCATGGCCGCGCCATTCGAGCAAGCATTCGACGAGTACGCCGTGCTGCACGAGCAGGCTAGCCACTACACGAGCGAGAGCGCGCCGCAGGGCGTCCGCGAGGGAGGAGAGGTCCGCGCGATCCACTACCGCGATCCAGAGACGATCTACATCAAGGCCTCGCACGATCGGGTCACGGTGATTTTCAGCACGGTGTTCTCCGACGAGACGGATCGTGTGTTCGGAAAGGTCTTTCTGCAGGAGTTTGCCGATGCGCGGAGACGGGCGATTCAGAATGCTCCGCAGGTTCTGTTCCGGAATGACCCGCCGTTGGAGTTACAGGGTGTCCCAGGTCTGAAGAGCGGCAAGGGCGAGATGTCATACATCACATTCGGTGAGGAACATCTTTCTCGATTTGTGCACGAGCAAAACTCTGACATCTGTTCGCAGTCCTTTTCCCGCGTCATCTCACCCCACAGCGACGATACGAGGTCATTTCTCACATTCAGACCTTCCGTGATTATTTCCACTACCACATCAAGGCCAGCAAGGCTTATATTCACAGCCGTATGCGCCGAAGGACGGCAGACTTCTTGCAGGTGTTGCGGCGTGCTCGTCCGGAAGCAGAGGAGAAGGAACGAAAAACGGCCAGTGGAAGAACCTTCAAGGTTCAAGGATGATGAATGTGAAATAGATGGGGTTTCCGCTTCACGCTGACACGGCACATGAAACGAAACGAAACTAAAACCTTTTCTCGGTGCGAGCCTATCCACGATGCTGCACCAATTGACATGATTTGACAGCAGCTCAGAATCTTGTGATGACAATTCCAACGGCGAAGATGTCCAGTCAGCATTGTGTACCTCCCCTTTTGCATCCACGGCATAATGCAGATTCTTTCACACTTGCACTCCAGTACTCCGATATCGTACATGTACACTGATGATACAGCAGCAGCGTTCACCACTTGGGCGGCGAGCAGTCGTCCAGGCCAAGCCCAGGTAGATGACCAACCCGCGCGCTCGACGGCGATCCGAAGCTTGACTGACTGTCCCATCTAAATTCTGACACAATGGGAGTTGTACACGGCGTACTGAAACCCTGTCGGAAGGTTGCAGCACGCGGCGAGACCACGTTCATCGCGGGTGGTACCGGCCTGTGAGCACTTAGATCTGGCGGTGAGAGCATAGCAGTAGTTTCGAAAACCCCGGACGGCGAGGCCAGAGGCGTCGTTTCCTGCGGGTGCTCGACCACAGTCTCGAGTAGGCGCTCGTTCTCAATACAAGTGCATGTCATAACGATTGATTCCAGGTCGATGGCATTCTTCTCCACACACTCGAGGATTCGACGTTTAGCATCTGCCTGATGCGAAGGTGTTTGAATGGCCCGAGCGATCTGGACTTCAGCGCTGAAGGTGCCCGCCATGCGCGCAACATGTCCCGCAGATCCATACTCCAGAAGCTTACCTGGCAACACGATCCAGTCGGGATCGGCAGGGTTGTGGATACCTTGCGCGTCTGGCATGTGGTCTTCGTGGACGTAATAGCAAACTGAACGGAGGCAATCCTTGCGGGACTTGGCACTAAGTCGACAGGAGTGGTGAATACATGCGATCTCGCGGAGGATACACTCTTGGCAGACCGGCGCCTCGTTGCATTTAAGTCCGTGTGAACGACAATGATCGCAGACAATGAATTGCTGACGAGTCACAGCAGGACTGTCCTTGCTGTCAGGTGTGGTGCCTGCGTCACTATTACCTCGCGGCCATGTTGGAGCGAATGCATTTGTCTCTTGTCGAAGGAGGTCGAGTGAGTTGAGTCGAGGCTTTACAACCTTCTTTAGGTATTGGCTGATGTTGAAGTCTTTCGGATCTATTGCTACTTCCGTCACGCGTAGCGAGGAAAGCGACTTTTGCACGATCGAAGCGCTTGAGTGTGCGTCGAGGGGCTCTGAAAAGGAGTCAGCTGATGAGCTGGTCAGCATTCGAGGTCGGGCCGACACATCAACGATGGCCTCGAACTCGCCTCTTCTGCTTCGTCGACGACCCGAGTTGTCTCCCTTGGTCTCATCATACGGTGGCTGAATAGCAACTCGCCGATGCAGTGGAGACTCTTCATCGGTTTGATGGTAGTCCTGTCGATGAAAACCATGCAGCTCAACGAAGGCTTTCTCGATGGAGTCCTTCAACTCGAGCATGATTGCTGATGTGGTACTGTCGCTAGATCTAGATCGGCCAGTCATGACTGTATCAAACCTTATCCAAGTTTCAAATATTGTCTTGCACACGACGCAATTGCAGCATTGACCTCGAGTGACGATGTGATGGAAGGCTGACATGTTGACATGACCATCACGCTGCTGATCATGCAGATTTCCTTGGGAACGAGAGCATAAGATATTGTATGAATGTCGATATATCAGTCAAGTTGTGAAGGAAGGATGTAAGATGTAAAGGTTGATGAGATAGATGGGCTCAAGACGGTCACTGAAGACGAGTCGGTTGTGACTGATGAACGGCCGATGGCATTTGTTCGAAGTGTCGCACATCAAGCAGCAAGGATGCCTCATATCGGCCTTGTAGGCAACAACTCGCGAATGAGCCAACGTGAATGGAGCGGACACCTAGAAAACCTCAAAGTCGTGGAAGTGATAGTGTGTGGGCCAACCTTCCGAAGCATTCCAAGGTTCTTCATGTGATACAACCGCACACTCTTTCCTCACATGTCAATCTAGTCACATTTGATTGAGCACTAAGGCTGTTACTCGTGCAAAGCAAAGGTGATGGAAAGGCACCTGGGCTGTCACTTGTCAGAGGTATTGAAAGCGCTATCCCATGAAAAGCTGCAGATATTAAAAACGCTGTCACCCGCCAGGCTTGACAACTCGTATCAAAATTCACTTGCAGCCCTCCACTTGGGTCTGATGATCATCTCCACCAGCAAGGTAATTCCACCAAGCACCCATACAATACTTCGATCTCGGAATGATGAGTCAAGGTAGATAATCTGGTATCGTTTCAACGTTACGTACAAGGTTCCGCTTCACCGTGGAGCTCACGATCTATATACATTTTAAGGAGAAAGAGTCCAGAGAAGCCTCTGCTACATCTCCTTCCTGTCGACAGTCTAACATGATTGCTTGCGTTCTGCTACACAAGTTCAAGCAAAGAGTTTTGTTCTTCGCCATGTCCATCCAAGCCCTAGCCAACGAGTGACAAATGGTAGACCAATCCTGGACAAACCCAAGTGAATTTCGAACGCGATGTACCGGAAGCATGAGCGAGACCCAAACAGCCGATTGAGCCGTTGGACATGAAAAGGCGTGGGTATGAAACGAAAAGAAAAGAAGAGGTGACTTGAGAAAGGAAAAAGGAAAAAATGTCCTGAGTGAGGTGCCGGTGCTTCTCCGGTCACATCAAGACAGCATTAAATTACGAGATCATTTCTGCAGCGCTGAGATCATAGTCTTGGGGCCTGACCCTTCTCGCCTAGCTGGGCAAGAAGATGGCTTGGGGGAATTCGTGAAATGTTGGGACCGCCACGACTGGTGGGCATTGGGACGTAACCCTCGTTTCTCCTCCGCTGTCGTTCGATCAGGATGCCGATGAGGACAAGCAGGAAGATGAGACCCAAGGCGATTGCCAGACCGATGAGGACGACAAGGCCGAGGGCCAAGCTCCGGCTGGAGTGGATGCCGAAGCCTCGCGGGTCGCTGACGAAAACGCCTGCAATTGTGCCGGCGCCGCCGTCGTTGCTGCTTGTGATGAGGTATGGGGTGTAGGTTGTACCATTGAAGAGCACTGAGCTGGCGTTGCCATAGCTTGGAACGTCGATGGTACCAGTGAGGAGTAGGACATCGTTGCTTGCGATGAGAGCAGTGTTATCATGAGACGCAGTGGTCGGGATGACTTGCAGACTGCGGACCACGGAGTTCTGTCCCAGACCCGAGGCGATAACAAAAGTGTTGCCGTTGTATTTGGCAATGTAAGTGGAGCCGTTATTGGTAGCAATCCCGGAGACCCAGAATTCGTCTCCGATGACCGACGACATAGCAGTGACAGGACCAGGCAGGACCGAAGCGCCGGGGTGAGCGATGAATGTCTGGTTGCTGGAGTCGTATAAGCCGACACTGACGGGCGCGCCAGCAATGGTCAGGTTTCCAGCAAACTTCAGCATGGTCGTAGAGGACCAAATCATAGCGTTGACGTTTCCAGAGAGACCGAAACCCGGGCTGTTCCATGACCTGGTCTGGATGTTGTACACACAAAGAGACGCACATGGCAAAGAGCCAGCAACGCTGAACTGACCACCGACATAGACATTGTCTCCAGAAGGTTGAGTCGCAATTGCATGGACAACGACATTGTCGCCTCCCAGAACTGGTGGTTGGGGAGAGGTGAACGTGTTGGCTGCAAGGTCGAACGCAACAAGTCCATTGACATTGTTACCATTCACCGAACCCCCCAGAGAACCTCCAGCGAAGAGTGTTGACGATTGCACATCCATCGCCATGACAATAGAACCAGTGCTGAGCGTGGAGACGCCAGTGATGACTTGACTGGATCCAGTGTTGTTGATGAAGACCAGATCCTGAATGACTGAACCGTTGCTGGCTGTTGCTGAGAATGATCCGCCGAAGGCTGTAATTTTGAGGTTGTTGTTGTTCACATACATGCCCTTGTACACACCCGAGTAGTTGCCGTTGCTCAGATCGATGGCGCGCTTGCTCAGACTTGATGTGGTAGCGTTTGAAGAGGAGCTGGCGGGCTTCAGGTTGAGGCCAAATGATCGGAACGAGGAGCCCGAATCGATCAGCTCGACGACGTCACTCAGACCCGGTGTCTGCAAGTCGATTTGACCAGCCCAGAATGGCTGGCTGTTAGAGAGAGTGTAAGCAGTCAGTCGACCGCTGGCGCTCGAGCCGGCATCGGCAATGTTGTGGAGCCAATTGTTTCTTGATGGAACCCAGACAGCAAATCCAGACGCTGTAAATGATGCGTTGCCTGCGAATGCATTCACAGACGAGAAACTGCCTGAAAGGGCAAGGCAGTCTGCTTGAGCATTGGTGGAGACATTCAAGCGGACCGGAACGATGTATGACACGTTGCCATTGACGCCTGCGCCAAGAGAAGACCACTTATTGTCGCTGAGCGAGTATGCAGCGACACGGTTCAGATCTGCGACGGAGTTGTCGGCAGTGGAGGTGAAAGCACCGACATAGTACACAGTGGAGTCCGAAGGATTCCGGTAAGCGTTCAGCACGGGTCCGTTGAGACCGCCTCCGGCGACGGAAGCAGCAGAGTTTTCGACTCGCACCACGTTTGAGATACCGGTGGCGGAGAAGCTGCCTGCGGCGAAGGTAGAGCCCTGATATGAAATCACCGACCGGACAGACGCGCCTGGGTTCAAGCGTGCACCAGCCATGTCGATGGCGGATTTGGTAAAGTCAGAGCTGACGACAGCTTGTTTCGGGTCGTACTCGAAGAGACCGTTGAGACCACCAGTAGAACCAACCAGTTCAAAGCGTACCTTCTGCGCAACCACGTGCAACGGAAGACGCTGCCCTGCAATGGGAGACAAGGTGATAGTTGGGCGGAAAGAGCTCGACGCGTCGACATAACCATTGTAAACCTGGTCGTACTTCGCATAGTTGTTAGTCTGGTAGATAGTAGAAGCGAATGTTGGTCCCCTTGATGTCAATGTACCAGTGACGTTGACTTGTCCACGAGACTGGCACGAGTTGTCCTGGAGACATCCGGGTGTCCACACCGTGATGGAGTAGTTTCCGGATTGCTTGATGTTAGGATGGAACACGATGTTCGAGCTCGATCCCAGTTGCGATTCACTAGTCAGATTCGCAGAGAGATATCCGGAGTCTGCAGAGTCAGCGCTGCGACGGAGAGAAACCTCGTTCCAGGTGCCACTGGCAGGTGTGACGACGGAAGACGAGTCGGTTCCCGCGTTGAGGCACGATGGTGCATTGTAAGCATTGACAGCAAAGCTGTAAATGTCGTCCTGATACAACTCAATGCCGCCGAGGCCACCACCGGCGCCGTACCAGCTGGTAATGTAGATTCTGAACATGTTCATGCCGACCACAGGTGAGAAGCGGAAGTCCTGGGCATTGTTGTTATTGAGAAGAGGGCAGTCCAAGATACACGATCTCGCATTGCCATTGCTGTCGACGTAACTCATGTTCAGAATTCCGCCACTGTTGAGATCTTCGAAGTAGAATGTCTTAGCGCCGCGTCCATCCTGGTTGGCATTGTACAGTCGCAGCTTGGTCGGGTTAAAGCCAAAACCGAACTGGCCCTCCCACCAGCCAGCAGTATTGTCTGCCAAAAGCCAGGTATTGCCAGCTCCGGCTTGCGATGCGGTCTTGCACACGATGTTGCTGGCAGAGGAGAAGCCACTTGTGGTTGTAGCTCCCGAGGAGCTCAGAGCGCCTCCTCCAAGATTGACAGGCTGCTGGTCGCGAATATTCGGAGTGGTGACATTGCCGAGGCCATCAAAATTGCCGCCAAAAACAATGTTACCTGCGGAGTTCTTGGTGATCGAATTGATGGGTCCATTGAACCCGGCAAAGGGAAGATTGTTCCAGTCGTCCGTCCACTGCAATGCATTGGTCGAATTGCCTCCCATGAAGTTACCACCAACGTAGACAGTGGACGAGTCGCTGTCACACAGTACTGAATTGCATCTCCCGCTAAGACCAGGCAATGACCTTACTGGATTCGTCGAATTCGGGCTGTAGATTGCGGCCGAATTGGCCTGGACACCAGCGACACTTGTGAAATTTCCGCAAAGTACAATGCCGACAAAGGTGCCATCGCGCTTCACGTAAGGGCACATGGCCATGATGTCCGCATCCACCAAGCCCAGATCCGCAAATGCTCCGCCAGCTGAACGGGTCAACAAGGACACACTTCCATTGCTCCCAGCAGAGCCCACTTTTTGACCATCGAACGCGTAAACGGAAATGCTGTCGAAATCTCCAGCGATGGCGACCTGGCCCAGCGAGCTCAGATCCAAATTAGGTGCAGGTATGCTGGCCGGAGTGCCTTCGACACCCGTAACCCAAGACAGAGGGGATAAGAGAAGTAACGCGGCGAGCCCAGACGCGCGGGCCATCATTTGCGAGACTGAGGTCCTCATTGTCGAAACAGCGCTCGCGACCGCGAGAGGTGAGAAACGCGAGAAACTCTCGGTACCACTGTTGTCGATGTCGAAATCAGATAAGTGAGTTCGCAGTGTCCGGACCAGATGAGGTTATCGGAGGTTTTCACGCATCCATGACGCAGGCTGTCGGAAGGTCGTCGTTCCGGTTCTGTTTGCAGTGCGTCTCCTGTCGAGGATTCAAATGTCGACCAGATATGAATGCCGTCGGTGACAATGACAGTGCTGTTCACCTAGATGAGCGAATGTGGGTGACCGTCGCGAAGACGAGTATCGGAACTGTAACGAAAGACTGCAGGTGAGGAGCAGGAGTAGGATCCAGTAGTGCGAAGGAAGCGTGATTCCGACAATGAGAGAGTGTGGTGAGAGGTGCGTACAGCGCAGCAGTGATGGCGAGAATGCTGCTGGTGACGGAAGCGGCCGATGCGTGAATGGAGGAGAGACACCACCACAGGGCAACTGGCTACTGTACCTGTATGGGGGAAAACGAGAGTGGAATCATGAATGGCGCCCACACCTCTACACACGATCACATAATAGACTTTCCGGGCGTCCACTTTTACCCGTGCTTGTCAGTGCATCTACACAAATGCGTGTGTTTGTGTGCGTGTGGTACTGACGAGGGTCGTACGGGGCGCCCATGCAAGGAATGATCGCCCACCCGCCGAATCGAATTCCTATCGATGATGGTGGGAGAGGAAACAGGTCAAATCCTCGTGTTTCCCACACGCCCACATCGATCATCCACCACAGAAAGCCCCCCTCCGCCCGTACTCTTCTCCTGTTGACTACTTTCGGCCAAGTGACCCCAACCGCCAACATCTCCACCCAATCACGGCAAGCATGACGATTATACGTTAACCCCAACCGGGCATAGTCGGCGTCCGCAAAGCCGCGGCTGGAAATTAACCTGCCGAGCCTGACGACACACATCACTCACAGGCAAATGGTCGGCAAGCATTTGCTCGTTCGTTCGGGCCTGGCCTTCTCTCGTGCGGACTGGAGGACACTGCAATTTGGGGATTTGTCCAGTGAGATGGATTGTTTCGCATCCACAATTCGTCGTCATCGGATGACGCTTCGTGGTACACCCTGCTGTTCTTCTTCTTCTCTTCTTCTGTGCGCACGCGACGAGAACACCGTGTACTGTACTGTGACACTGCGTTGAAAAGTAAATCCACGTACTGCACTGCACTGCTGAAG